ATCCACTACAGTCCTAGGCTAGGCTAGCCTCTTGTCGATGGCCCTAGCGCTGTCGAAGTCCATAAATTCTGGCGAGCACTTCTGTTTATCTGGCGAGCGAAGCGAGCCAGAAATTACGGACTCCAACAACGCTAGGGCCATTGACAAGAGGCTAGATCTAGACTGAATAATTTGGGGGATACTAGTAGTAGACCCCTAGTAGATCTCCTAGATTTAGATTTAGATTTTATTTTTAGGCTTAGATCTAGATCTAGACCTAGATCTAGACTTAGATCTAGCCTAGGCCTATCAATTATCATCTTTTTCATCAACAACCAGGCATGACAACGTGTGTTAAAGTTAGATGGCTACGAGTATAGCCTAGTGAAATCTACTACTAGTACTAGACATTGTTTGTGTTCTTGCAGTTTATTGCAGTTTCGATACTTAGGTTGCAATAAAACTGAAATTTTCGGTTAGTAAACCCGACAGCCAACTCAGCTCAGCTCCGGATACAGCACAGTAGAGGCTGCTGCAAAAAGGCCCGGCACTAGGCCGGGCGCTACACGCAGCTTTCGCCTTTGACTCGTGCCCACTGCACTAGCGCATGAAACTGGTCAATCACTCGCACACGAGCTCTCATAATTAGTCTTTGTTTAACCGCCGAAAAAAGTATTCAAAAATCAAAAAGCACATAGATGTCGAGTTAAGAATTTTGTTCTTCGTATTAGGGAATAAATATGACTTGTACTTACGGGATTTCTACGAAAAACCATTTCGGCATAGAAGTTGGGTTCATTGTATGATGATTGTCGCAGACGACGGTGAAGCGAAATAAAGAGGGTGGGCGTGGCCTAATTAGTCAGAAGGCTCGTCCCACTCGATTGAAGATTAAAAGTCCGCTGACAATTTGTCAGAGCTTGTTATAGAGCTTCGTGAAACGGTTTTTTAGTCAGCGCTGACCATTTGTCAGCGCTGACAGATTTAGTCAGCGCTGACAGTTTTCCGCCGACAAATGTTGATGAAACACCCCCCCGATCGTAAATACTTTAGCCCCCCCCCCCCAACTAAAAAAAAAATCCACCGGGCCTGCATGTAACATGTAAGAGTGGCGGTGATGCGGATTTTTTTCTCCCCCCCCCAAACGTTTTTGCTCATTACGCCACTGCTCCTTTTCCCCTCGCATTTCGCCCCCCCCCCCCGTCATGAACAGAAATCGCCGCCCCTGCTTTTTATATAGCGCACATGTCCGTCACATTGTGACGCTCTTGGCGCTGCCCCGATTATTACCCTGGCTTTAGCAAGACAGCCACTGCAGCGTTCTTGCATTTCAAGGAATCAAGTCTTGCCAGGTACCCATTAACATCACCCCACTAATCACTCCTTTGCTAATGTTCAAAAGTGGAATATTCCTTTATGGCTACATAATTTTTGGTAGTAAGGTCAACTAAGGTCCACTCTAAGATAAAATTATTAGACTTATATTTTAATGTTTAACTTAAATGTATGCCTATACATTTTGCATGTGTTTTCTAACATGTCTTCATTTAATTACATCTGCTTATTTGTTTAAAAATTGTTCTTATCGTTATTGCAAATTCTTTGTGTTGATCTACATTTCTGAATTAAGGATTGCACGACGCATAACTACATGATCGAAATTTTTTGATTACATGATAAATTTGTCCACGTTTCTCGATTTTACAAAGTATTGTATGCTAACCAAAGCACGGCATGCTAATACAGAAATACTCTTTGGACAATTAATATGCATAGCGAGTGGTTATTTTACTGAAGGGAGGGTGGACATGAAAACACTTTCGTTAATACATATATTTCATAAGCAAAATAAATTGACAATACGGAAAAGAATGGGCAGGGAAAAATGTGTGTGCAAATATGGAAAACATGCAAATATCCTTTTTTCCCTCTTTTTCATATTCTCATTGTTCACTATATTCTTGAAGGTTCCTTGTTTTTAGTCATTACTAAAAATGTGAATATCTAAACAAAAGCAAAAAAGCAGTAGTATCAAGATGGGCAAGATGGGGATCCTTTCCACCCCCTCCTTCCCACCCAGTCGCGGATCCAGGGGGAGTCACTGTAATGTAAAATGTTTAAAACATATCATAGTGTCCTCTTTCTTGGAAATATTAACTTCTGGCCCTTTCTATTACATACTTTGGACATTCTTTGGGGTGATGCTTATACGGTAGATGTCATTGTTGAGTCCCAAACACTCCCAGGCGAAGTCGCCTAGGAATTTTTAAAGTTTTTCTTCCCAATTTACAAGAATATTGTGAGTTAACGTTTGGCTGAAAGGATTTTTAATGCCGATTGGATATCATTCCACCTTTCTTGCCAAAGTAACTTTGAACTGCACAAAATTAAAATTGTTTCATTTAAACAACGTAAATTTGTTCATGCATTTCAATTTCTGAGTTAATTAAAGCTTTTTTTGGCATAGAAATCTGCCTTTTCATTTCCAACTATCCCACAGTGGCCTGCTATATTTTAAACTGGTAGTTATTGTAAATATTTCTGTGACAAAAGATTTGTCATTGAAATTATAAATGACTACGCCTGTATAGATATTATTTTGTTTCTTCGATCTATGTCCATTGTCTTTGAAGAGCAAGAACAATGGCAGCCAACTCGGCTCTATAAGAAAAGGTAAAATTCGTTAATCTTTTACATCGGTGTATAGAAAGTGGGAGATATATATAAAAAGCAGCCGAGCATTGCCCCTTCTGTATATTACCATTTTGTATTAATCAATAAGAGTCGATGTCTGAACAGTACATTGTGCATGGTGCATAAATCGTTTTCACTTTTGATTTTGTATATCAAGAACACCATGAAATCAACGCAAGGTGAAGTGGTGCAAGGTGAAGTGCACGTATGGTGGCCCTGAAGGGACATCGCGAATAGACTAAATCGTGAAAAATATGCGATAAAATTCACGATATCGTCAATTTTATCGCATATTTTTCACGAAGAAATTCACGAAATTGACGATATCGTGAACTTTATCGTGAACTTTTCACGATGAAATTGACAATATCGTGAATTTTATCGTGAAAAGTTCACGATATAAAGTTCACGATATCGTCAATTTATCGTGTACTCTATCGTGTACTCTATCGTGTACTCTCCTGACGGGCGCTTCGTAAACAAAACCAGCCCTAGCTGGGGGAGACAGAGAGAAGGAAAAAAGGGAATGGGAAAGAGAAGATAAAAGGAAAGAAAGAATAAGAAGAAGAAAAGAGGGAAACGGGGGGGGGGGGGGGGGGCGAAGGGCTCTTGCCTCCTCCTCATCCCCCCCGCCAAAAAATAAATAAGGAGAGAGAGAAGGGAAAGGGAAAGGGAAAGAAAATATAAAAGGAAAGAAAGAAGAGGAAGAAGGAAAGAGGGAAACGGGGGAAGGGCGAAAGGCTCTTACCTCCCCCCCCCCCGCCAAAAAAATAAATAAGAGAGAGAGAGAGAGAGAGAGGAGGGAAAGGGAAAGAAAGAAGAGGAATAAGAGGGGAACAGGGGAAGGGCGAAGGGCTCTTGCCTCCTCCCCCCCCCCCCCGCCAAAAATAAATAAGAGAGAGAAGGGAAAGGGAAAGAAAATATAAAAGGAAAGAAAGAAGAGGAATAAGAAGGAAAGAGGGAAACGGGGGAAGGGCAAAGGGCTCTTGCCTCCTCCCTCCCCACTCCCCGCCAAAAAAATAAATAAGAGATAGAGAGAGAAGGGAAAGGGAAAGGGAAAGAGAAGATAAAAGGAAAGAAAGAAGAGGAAGAAAAAGAAGAAAAGAGGGAAACGGGGGCGAAGGGCTCTTGCATCCCCCCGCCCAAAAAATAAATAAGAGAGAGAGAGAGAGAGAAGAGAAAGGGAAAGAGAATAAAAAAGGAAAGGAAGAAGAATAAGAAGAAAAGAGGGGCTCTTGCCTCCTCCCCCCTCCCGCGCCAACAAATAAATAGGAGAGAGAGAGAGAGAGATAGAGAGAAGGAAAGGGAAAGGGAAAGAAAATATAAAAGGAAAGAAAGAAGAAGAAGACGGAAAGAGGGAAACGGGGGAAGGGCGAAAGGCTCTTACCTCCCCCTTCCCCCTCCCGCCATAAAGGAAAAGAGAAGGGAGAGGGAAAGAAAATATAAAAGGAAAGAAAGAAGAGGAAAAAGAATAAGAAAAGAGGGAAACAGGGGCGAAGGGCTCTTGCCTCCTTTCTTTTCTTTCTTTTCCTTTCTTTCCTATTCTCCCTCTTTTTCGTTTTTCTCTTTCTTTCTTCTCTTTCCCTTTCCTTCTCTCTCTCTCTCTCTCTTATTTATTTTTTGGCGGGGGGCGGGGGGACGAGGCAAAAGCCCTTTGCCCCCGTTTCCCTCTTTTCTTCTTCTTCCTCTTCTTTCTTTCCTTTTATCTTCTCTTTCCCTTTCCCTTTCCCTTCTCTCTCTCTCTCTGATTTATTTTTTGGCGGGGGGGGGGAGGGGGGCAAGAGTCCTTCGCCCTTCCCCCGTTTTCCTCTTTTCTTCTTCTTCCTCTTCTTTCTTTCCTTTTATCTTCTCTTTCCCTTTCCCTTTCCCTTCTCTCTCTCTCTCTCTGATTTATTTTTTGGCGGGGAGGGGGGGGGGGGGAGTGAGGAGGAGGCTAGAGCCCTTCGCCCCCCCCCCCCCCGTTTCCCTCTTTTCTTCTTATTATTCTTTCTTTCCTTTTATCTTCTCTTTCCCTTTCCCTTTTTTCCTTCTCTCTGTCTCCCCCAGCTAGGGCTGGTTTTGTTTACGAAGCGCCCGTCAGGAGAGTACACGATAGAGTACACGATAGAGTACACGATAAAATTGACGATATCGTGAACTTTTCACGATAAAATTCACGATATCGTCAATTTCATCGTGAAAAGTTCACGATAAAGTTCACGATATCGTCAATTTCGTGAATTTCTTCGTGAAAAATATGCGATAAAATTGACGATATCGTGAATTTTATCGCATATTTTTCACGATTTAGTCTATTCGCGATGTCCCTTCAGGGCCACCATACCAAAGTCAAAGACGGACGAGGAAATCAGAAATCCAACAAATATTTTCGTATTTTATGGCACAGTTCATCAACTGATGAAGATAGATCCATTTCTGGAGGTCTCCTATGATAATGTGAGTTTTTAAAATGTTGAATGCTGTGTGTCAAAACCCAATCAGAGTCAGCTAGATAATGAGTTCGCGTGGAGCTGGAGCTCCGGCCTTCATCCGGGGAATTCCCCAATCGTAAACAAACCCGGCCCTGTAATACTATACTATCAAGTACGACAAGAGGACTGTATAAATTATAATAAAGCTGTACTCAATGGAAGAAGAAGAAGAATAGGCTCAGGCTGTATGCTATGTACACTAACCATGATGTATCAGGTCAAAATGTTGTTCAAGGAATTATAGAGTTCATACCATTGGGTTTTCAGGGTATTCTAAAGTTAAGCCGTTTTTTCAAAACATTTTTAATTTTTGTAGATATATTAAACAATGAGTAATCATGTAATGACGTTATATTTAATTGATACTAGCAATTGACTAGGCTTAGATTTATAATCAGGATAATATAGTAATTAGGTCTAGACCTAAAGTACTAGAATTAAACTGTAACTAGTAGTGTGTTGGAATATTTTGTACACAATTAGATTCTGTTTACATCCAGTGATCAGGGTTAATGATCTTTACTTTGTTTACTTTTCTCCAGGCCAGTGTTCACTTTGTAACCCCAGTTCCACCTGTATATAGCCACTCAGAATGACTTTCATTAATATTGCTCCCTCTTACTTTTGTTATTATCATACCTCCTTCATGCTTTACATTCCCAAGTTGATCCTTCTCTTTGTTATAGAATACCTTCTCACTATGCTTCACCTCACATGTATTTGCATACTATCCTTCTTCCCCATTGGTTGATTTAGCTATTGAATATTTATGTTGTACATTCTCAAATGTGAGTGGACCTTTCCTAATGAATATGTAATACTCGGTCATTGTTATTTTAGAGTTGATTTGAATATTTATGTTGTATGAATTGAATATGCTAAGATGTGTAAATGGTTCTAGGACACCTACCCCCTGGACATCCACCCCCCCCCCCCGGATAACCACCCCCAGCCAACTACCCCCTAGGACAACTACCCCCTAGGAAAACTACCCCCCAGGGCAACCACCCTCCAGGACAACTACCCCCAAGACAACTATACCCCCTAGGACAACTACCCCCTAGGACAAATAACCCAGAACAACTACCCCCCGGACAACTACGCCCTAGAACAACTACCCCCTGGACAATTAACCCCTATGACAACCATCCTCTAGGACAACTACCCCCCGGACAACTATCCTAGGGGGTAGTTGTCTTGGGGTAGTTGTCCAGGGGGTAGTTGCATGTCCAGAGGGTAGTTGTCCTATAGGGGGTAGTTGCTACTTCGGTATCTTTGGAAGCAGTACAATCCGCAAACTGAATGGTATAGTAAGCCATAGTCAGAGGTATATCATGATCGTGATAACTCCTGCGTATTTAACATATCAAATACTTCAATTTTGTGATACCAATATTACCGGTAAGACGAAGCCAAAAACACAAACAAAAACTTTCAACGCTTTGTATCTTTACAAGGAAAACACAAAAATTGGAATGAGCAATAATAACTACGATTGTTTTTTTTCTTCTTTCTTTTATGCAGATTTGTCAGCCTGGAAGATGACGAACCGTTCGGATGATGGCAACAACACTGTCTATCGTGGTTGTGTATCACAGACCATTCACGTAATATGCATGATAAATCCTTCCATTTATTCTAAACAATAACAGACAAATATCATCAGTGCTTATTCTTTTTATGATTTGTGTTATATATTTTGTTTAAGTTATCTCTTTTTAGAGGGCATTTCGACATTTTGATTTTTTTTCAATTTTCCTTTTGTTTTGTTTGTCTGTGAAGATGCAAGGTAGGTCACATGCAACATTGTGCAAATGCAAATGGTGAAGCACAGATGTACATGATGTACCCATGTTTATATAGCATTCTTTATTAAAGGGAAATTCAACCTCAATAGCAAATTTGCTCTAAAAGAGGAAGAAAAATTCAGATAAGCAGATTGGTAAAAGTGTGAATGAAATCAGACAAACAGTACGAAAGATAATATGAATTATTTAATGTTATCACAGAAGCGAATTTTCAAATTGGACAAATTTGTAGTGTCACTGCCATATAAACTATTGCCTGACATCTCCTATTTTTCCAACTGACTAAATGACTTAAATGTTAATTTTTCATTAAGTATTGTTTAAGGTTCTTTTTCTTTTTGGAGGACCTTTAATAATGCACCATCCATGTTGAATAATGCCCCAAGCAAGAAGGCACAGAGATTGATACTATTTCAGTATGGCAAACATCCTAAGTCTAAATTGTCAACTTTAGTTTTGCATATATTTAGGGATCACATATTTCAAACATTCATAACTTCTATATTATTTATCTGATTTATTTCGACCTTTTGTCATTCTGTTTCTCTAAATTTTCTGCCTCCATACAAATGGAATTTGTTGTTAGATCTCCCTTTAAATGGGAATAAACTCCACGAACCACCTCTTTAGTTTAAATGAGATTAATACTATGTGAACTACATGTACTGGTATCTTTTCTCACTGTTTTCTTATCCTAGTATAGGAGCACAGACTCTCATATACTGTAATATGACCAACTTGCAAGTGACTTTGGCCAAATATTAAATTTTAACAATTTAGAATAGGCAGAAACATAGCTATGAACTCGAACCTTGCCTTTCCTTTACCTTTTTTTTTTAATATTAAAAAAAAAAATACTGTTTTTGTTTTTGATTTGTTCATTTCAGTCAATTCCATTGTGTGTTATCAATGATGTTTTGTCTTAATATGCCAGGTGACAGGTGTATTGCACATTGTTGCTGGAGCTCTGTGTATAGTGTTTGGTATTTCAGCCATCATTCTCCGAGCCAAGGTCTCGTACCTAGGCCTCCCCATCTGGGGAGGGTTACTGGTGAGTCAACACAGATAATCCAAAAAGTAATATGATGTCTAATGGATTATTATTAGGATGGTTCTGTCAACGTGTCCTTTTTCCAAATATTTCATCCGAAAGTAAACAATCTTTGAATGATGGTACTTTCTTGTATAATAATTACCAGTCATATCAAGACATTTCTCATTCATGGATGACATTTTTTGATAAATGTTATATGTCTTACAGGAAAAATTGCACAGAATTGCCCATTAGTATGAAGGGTTTGCACTAGCTGACCTGTAAAAGCGGTATCTTATCTCATACTTTAGACATAGGCACCCAAATAACTGCAACTTCAAAACACTATGTCATGGTTTGTAAAAAAGTACCTGGATGACCTTGTTTCATGGAGTTTTATGGAGGTTGTTTTCATACATTCTAGCTATCCACAAATTCCTTTTCCGCTGATTGGTACACTTTAAAGCTAATCTTAATTGAGCTCTGATATGGGAATCGTATGTCGAGAGAACATGGCTATAATTCATATGGATTGTTTATCCTGCAGTAAATTGATTGTTTGAACCATTAAAATAAAAATAAACTCACAAATACTTCCTGGAAATCATCTTCAATAAAAACTGCAACTCTCATTTGCACGTAGTGACCTGTGTTAAGCACAGCATTGTGCTGGTCCTACTTGCCTTGATTTCATTATCCTTCTATGCTCATTACTCAGCCCCTGTACATTTTCTAACAAAATCGTTTGGCACATAATTGTATTGTTGAACATTCAGTGTAAGTTTTGTTGGATTCTGTGAGAATTTATTTTCTATCATTACCAGAACTCCAGCTTAGGCCAAAAAATAAATTGTTTGGTTGTCCTCGATTGCTTTTCTGGAGTAGGGGCGGGCGGTCGGATTTTTTTTTTTTTTTTTTGTGTGTGTGTGTCTTTTTTTGTTCCCATTTAAAAAAAATCAAAAAAAAAATCATTGGGATTGTCAAGCATTTAAACAAACAAAGTCTATAAAACACTTTAATATGGTAAAAGACTAGTTTAATGTACAATGAATATCAAGACCAACACAGAAAGTATTTTGGGCTTTGAAATACAGCACCTTTTAAATCTCCATTGTACTACTTATAGCTACTTGCGCCCTCTATGTAGCAAACAATGCCTAATCGGTGTCCCTTGGTCCCCCATGATCCTTTATATCGTATATTAACTGAGAGCTGATTTGATGAGATAACCACCTGTCCAGTGTCCTTGCAGGGTGGTCTAATCCCTCCTGTAAACTAGTACAGATGGGCTTTAAAATGAGTTTAAGAATGCTCAGAACCTGATTAGAATGAACAGCATTTTGACATAGAAAAATAAAAATGGCAAGTTTTATAAATACCTAATTGCGTACTGAAAAGACAAAACTGGCAACGGGACGCATTTTGATCCTTGCAAATGCATGAAATGGTATGATCGGCATTTAAGATTGCTCCCCCCCCCCCAAAAAAAAAAAAAAAAAATGAATTTAAGATAATAAAAAAAATTGAATTTAAAAAAAAAAAAAAAAATGCGAGCGGCCCGAAAATGACGAGCGGGCGTCGAGGACAACCAAATGATTTTTTTTTTTTGGCCTTATCTTTAAGCTTGTATTATGGGGTTGAAGCAAGACACTCAACTAAGTTGTGAATTTTTTTGTGCTAACGTAAATGCAACTTGGTTTTGATTCTCACATGAAATTTCCTGGATTCTCACTTTCTCACTGAAGTCATTTACATCTCAAGATTTCAATAAAACTGAATCTCAACAGCTGATTACTTTCATATTTCTCTGATTGTTTTCACTTTCATTTTTTTTTCACAGATCTTCATGGTAACTGGGTCAATAGGTGTTGCTAATTACTTCAATCCTACGAGCAAGAAAATTGTAAGTTATCTGTTTTCATATGATAAAGCTTCCTCTTTGCAAATGATAAATTACATGGTGTAGACTCTATATTCTGTTTTTCAATGCTGGCAGGATTTCTACAAGCATTAAAGCTTCATTATAGTCACTTTCTGTAGAGTAACGCATTTATTTGATAGTGAAGCTAGCATTTTTGGTCAAGAATTGAAATCTTTATATTAAAAAAAATGTTCCAAAACTTGGTGGTAAAGAAAGTAGGGGTTCTTCTTCTCTGCAAATTATTACTTTGGGATTGCTTTTTCTTTACTGGAGACCATATATACTACATCAGAATTTGAAACATTGAATAAGTTTCATGTCAGTACTGGAAGGTAACCTCTAACCTCTAGACTTCAAAGCCATATAGTAGTCAGCGTGCATGTGTATTGCATCATAATTTGCTGACACCAGATTTTGTTAAATTACTAATTAATATGTCTACTCTGGGTGTGCAAAGGTCTCTTGTTATTCAAGATTATTCAGAATCAGAAGTATATGGTGGTGGTTATTTTACCTGATTGCTATAAAAGTATAAATGCTTGTAAGTAAGCAACCAGACGACCGACTGCTTTAAGTCCTCTCCGAGGTGGTAATGAATTACCAAAGGGCACTAGCGCAGCGACTTGGTTTCAAACTCGGGTCACCGGATTACAAGACCACTGCTCTCCTGACTGAGCTATCGCGCCTCTCAAGTAGCCTCAAAACATATATTCCTTCTTGAAGAATTTGTATCTATGTAAAGCATTCCTCTTGGTTTTTTTTATCTATAGGTTAAGTACTACCTGGTGATGTCCAGCATTTCTGCAGTTTTCGCTTTCCTGATGATTATAGCATTTGGGATTTTCATCGATAAAGAGGACCATCCATGGGGTACCGGTAGATTTATTTGTCATCCCCTTATGAGATCCATCTGTGGGAGCGAAGCGGTAAGTATTGCATTAGAATAGACAAATATGCAAAGATTAAAAGAAACAAAAAGCATACAGCCTTGTGTTTGAGGCAGTGGCAGACCCAGGAATATGTGTGTGGGGGAGGGATCAGGCTCATTAAAATAGAGTTGTTCTCTGTCAAGCATGATTAAAAGGGTGTTCTCATTTATTTCAGATGCCTTTTTTTTCTTTTCTTTTCTTTTCTTTTTCTTTTTGTAAAAATATGTTTGACCAGCAAAAAAGAAAAAGAAATAAAAAATTGTTACCTAATATTTCATGTGCCTTTCTTGTTAAAAAAAATCTTTAAAAAAAGAACATTGTGCATAAAGTGTATACCGGTAGTGCATATAGAAAAGTATGCCCAGCTTTGGTAGCTCCTAAATAAGAGGGCATATCCAAAGTGACTTTAAAATCTATTTCATAATGAAAAGTAAATTGTTTTCTGTATAATGATAAGCTATTCAAATTTTTATGTTTATTATTTACAATTTCATCAGTTTAGACTCAATTTCAACTGCGACAACAATCATTGAATATTGTAAAATTGCATGTGCTTCCAATATGTTCGTTTGAACCAAATTTATGAATTACCTGTTAAGCACATCTTAGAACATATATGTTTAGAAGCAATTTTAATGTTAATTGGGGACTTAAGAAACTACTATTTTTATTATTATTGCCATTGTTCTTCTTATCATTCTTCTTCTTATTATTATTATTAGATTCATTCAATTCATTTATTCTTTCAGGAGTCACGTATTGTGGTGAACGCCATATTGATCTTGATCTTTGTACTGGAGTCACTTTGCGGTGTGGTAGCAGTCAGTGTGGCCTGCTACAAGGCATGTCAATGCTGCCGAGACGGCTACGATACGTGCAGGATGTGTAGCCTGTCCAAATTGTGCAGACTGTGCAGAGACGATCGAGGAAACTCCAATATAGTAAGTGGTGCAACGACTCACATTCTAGCTGACGTCTAGGCTATAGCACAGTGGAACTTCATTATAGAGACCACTGTCAAATTCTCCTTACAATAAAATAGAGGTGTCATCGACTGGAAATGCAAAGGTTGTGGGTTTTAAGCCCCGGGCATGGCATTAGCCTCCTTTTGCAAGACATTAATCTACATATGCTACACTCTCTGCCCAGGTTCTAAATGAGTACCGGCAGGAAGGAATTCCTTAAATGCTATAATGGTGAAAGTCAGTAAATCTAGCCACAGGGGAGGAGGATTATTTTGAAGTACCTTGAGCACCTTGCATTTTGGATACGAGTGCTTTCAAAATATCCATTATTCTTCTTCTTTATTATTAAAGTTAATTTGCTCAGCTCAGCTCTTTGTTTCTATTTATTACTTTTATTTTTACCTCTGATAAAAAAGGATTCCAATATAGCAAGGAAATTTCCTTGATCTAGGAAAGTTATTATGGTAAGGTTCTACTGTATCTTAAGAAGATGTCTCTTCAAAAAAACATTTTTATGCCACCGCCCACCGCCCAAGGTGGTGTGGGATGCATTATGTTTTGGGGTTGTCAGTCCATCCATCCCTACGTTCGTATAGCGTGATATCTCAATAATCACAAAACTCAAAGTCTCATATCCTCTCTAATAAAATGAGGAAGAAGATGATGTCTTTCATTTCATCACCTCTAGCTCTTAGCAGTTATGCTTTGTATTTTATTAAGCAAGGTGTGCTGTAAAAATTCTATAATCACATGCTATTTTTTCTCTTAAAATGTCCTAGGTCTATTATGCTGTCAATAGAGGAGACACGCCCATGATGGCAGTACCCAATAACCAGTCTGCTGGGCCTGTCTATTTTGCAGGTAGATTGACCTTTTCTGTCTTTATTACCTATATTGTGCAATGGCATATTATATTATGAAGTTAGTGTGGTGTAGGTCAACCCTGTAAAGTTTTCGGCCATGACATTATTTTTAATTTTTGTGAGAAAGTGTTGCTTTTCCTAAATCGCTCTAATTTCCTAAAACACAGTCAATTTTGCCTTTGATGCCTTTTACTTCAATTTCAATTTAAATTTATTTATGTTTCCAACAAAACATTAAAAATCAATTATAAACATTTTCAACAAATGTAGAAATATATAAATTGGAAACAGAGGGGTCGAAAGCAATGCTTGTACAAATATGAACACCACAATTGATACTTAGGAATAATGAGTGATTAAATCAACAAGTCTGTACCTACAAAAGGAACTACAAATTAGGGGGGAGGGGGGAATGCCAACAGGGGCAAGAAAGGGACAAGACAGTACTTTAAATGACAAATAATACAAAGAGTAGACAATACTTTATTTTTGCCTTGAATTTATTTTTGAAACATAAAATGTCATAACAAAAAAGAAATACATATAGATTGAAAACGCATTAAGAAATCAAAAGCAATAAATGAATATACCGGTATGTAAGAGAAGTAAATATGTGGTTGCCTCTTTGTTTTTAATTTTAAAATTAAAGAAAACGTCCTTTAAAAAAATGCTATTTCCTTAAGCATGGTTGTAGCTATTTATAATGTTCTTTTTTTTTCTGGTAAAAAAATATATGTATCTCTTGAATTTGCACCATTGTACCACAGGTGAATCTTCTGGCACTTCTACTCAGCCAGGTCAATTCATGTATCTTGCCCCGAGCCCCCAACACCAGTCTTTCATGGCTCTACCAGCAGTGGCGCAACAGAACCAACCGATCCCCATATTGCCACCACCCCCAAAACATCAACAACCTTCCCAACAGCAGCAACAACAACCAGTCCTAATACACCAGCAATCAGGAATGGTCCAGCTGCCTAGTGGCCTTCCAGCGGGACAAGCTGGCTTCATCCAGGTCCAAGCACCGGGGCAGATGCAGCCTCAGACCCAGCCATCCCCAGAACAGGAACCTGCATCGCAACCTCAAACCTCAGGAATGTTCCAACAGCTCAGTGGCCTTCCAACGGGACAACCTGGCTTCATCAAGGTCCAAGCACCGGGGCAGATGCAGCCTCAAGGTCTTGCTCAGACCCAGCCATCCCCAGAACAGGAACCTGCATCGAAACCTCAAACCTCAGGAATGTTCCAACAGTTCAGTGGCCTTCCAACAGGACAACCTGGCTTTGTCCAGGTCCAAGCCCCGGGGCAGATGCAACCTCAAGTTCTTGCTCAGACCCAGCCATCCTCAGAACAGGAACCAGCATCACAACCTCAAACATCAGGAATGTTCCAACAGTTCAGTGGCCTTCCAACAGGACAACCTGGCTTTGTCCAAGTCCCAGCCATGGGGCAGATGCAGCCTCAAGGTGCTCCTCTAACCCAGCAACAGGCATCACATCCACAACCAGCAGGAATGGTTGAACAGCTGAGAGGCCCTCCACAATTTGGCTTCTTTCAGGTACGAGGCCCAGGAGGGCAGATTCAGATGATCCAAGCCCCATTAATGTATCCTCAGGCCATGATGGCTCCAACCCCTCAGCAACCTGTAGCAACTGAGGAACAGGTGCAGCAGCAACCTGTATCAACTGAGGAACAGGTCCAACAGCAGCAAACAGCGCCCTCTAATTCTGCTGAAGCCCATACTGAGGAAGAAGGTGTAGCTGTATGAGTCAGTTGTCTCAAGAAAAGCATATCCTCAAGTGAAAGTCTCCAATGATCAGTTCAGTGACCAGCCTGCTTTCATCTGAAAATCAACATGACTTTGTGTGACTTGGTTTTAAAAATACTGCAGGAATTTTACTCAATTTTATAAGGTGAATGTTTGAAATCATGTCTGAAGCAGTTTACTTCTTGCTATGGTTAGTTCAGTGACCAGACTGGCTCATTGAAAAAGTATTTTTTTAAAGAATTTTAATTTAATTATATTAATTGTTTTTTATTCAGTACTGTAAAAAAATTTACAAGAGCTTGATTCTCTAAAGTAGAATTTCATTGATAATGACAAGTATGGCCTATTATTCATCACTAGAAACTAGGATGCTTGCAGATGACATTTAGGTCAACTGCGCATCAAGCTATAATTAAACATAAATAAAAGCACCTCTCAGAATCTGAGATATACAAGCACTTTGCCAGAAAATTTAGCAATATTTTGATAGTATGATTGATTTTAAACATGAAGGGAAGTGAGGCCTATGCAGCTGATTATAATCCTGTGCTGAGAAGCATCGAGGGCAAGGTTAAATGATTTCAACTGATTAGATTTGGGGTTTAAGAGGGTAAAGGTTGTTGGGTCATAACAACCTAATGGAAACATTAAAAACAAAAGTTACATTTAGTTAGTTTATTTTTCTGATTCTTTCATCTTGTGCTTTGTAAGTGATATTAATGCAACACATACATTCTAATGGAATCATATTAGAAACACAGTTTCATTAATTTAGTTTATTTTGTTGTTGTTTCATTTTGTCCTTTATAAACGATATTTATGCAACACATATACATGTATTATAGTTAGAAACACAGTTTCATTTATTTGATTCATCTTTTATTGTTTCATTTTTACCTTTACCTAATTAAAACTGTACCTCTGAGCAGCTTTGTCCCTGAACATGTGTGTACATGTATGTGATTATGTTTTTTGTGTTTCTTTTAACACTAAATTCTTATTCACCACATTTTTATACAACTCATGATATTTTGACTTGAAGCAAGTTTTTAGTATATTTTCTATAGATTACATAAAATGTTTAAAACATGATATAAGTTTGTTCATAATAATGACAGTGCAAAATTTTATAATCATGATAGTGGATTTGATTGTTTCATCAAAAATCAATTAATAGAAATGATATGGAATTTTTTATAAATTTGTATATGTATTTATGTATTGATATCAAGTATTTTCATAATGATGAATTTATTATAAAAAAATGTTTTTAATTTTATGCTGCTGTCAATCAAGTCAGTTAAAAGAAAGTGAAAAGAGGGTAAAATGACTAAACAAAACTGCTAAGAATTTTATTTTATGATCTTATAGATATATTTGCTCTGTTTTCATTTGCAGAAAATCTAAATTTTCTTAGCAACATATACAAGGTATAATGCAAATCACTCTGTTTCATTGATAATGAGTACAAGTCACAATATCAGTGAAGGGCATTAGAATGTTTGTAATGAGTTTGTAACAGATTAGGGAAATATATTAGATAAAAATTAACAAGCTGTGAATGTCTTTAATCTGAGATCACTTAATCTTAAATTGTGAAATGGGTCATTCGACTATTGTATAATCTCTGAGTTGTTAGACATTTTTTTTCTCTCCCAAGTTCAGTTTGCTTGTCAGAACGCATACAAAATTAGACGTCTGCCAATGAATGGATCACTTTGACATTGCCAATTTGCCAATTCTCCATGTGTTTAGTGATTATAAATTCATATGTTTAATATTTGTTATCCAATTTGGCTCAGACTTTCCCTGATCTGTTTCACATATGTTTCTGCTTTCAATCAAAGGAACCTTCTGTCAAGGTTTTGCAGGCCAAAAAAAGTGAAAAGGTTAAATTCCAACAGCATTTGAAAGATAATAGTACAGAACTTCCCTTAAAAAAAGGGGGCTTGAAAATGTCTTTAAGTGGGAAAATAACGACTATTAGTTGTTGAATCGACTTAAGAGCTATAGAGCCAGTAAGTAATAGTCTGATTTTCAGAACATTGTACAGAGTGGTTGTATGTTTTATGCTAGTTGCACACAGATTCAATCAGTTTAATTTTAGCCATTTAATACAAGAAGTGGGTTATTGGTGTAGACAAATGCTCATGTACCCTTTACAGCTCATTTTATGTATGTTATTACCAAAAAGCCAGTCCCTCACTCAATAGTGTCTGACAATGAAGTCTAGCAAGTAACCGGTTTCCTTGCATAATTTGAATACTAGGACACTGCTTACGTTTAAATTTCACAGATAGGACATACATGACATATTCATAATTCCTGCAAAGTTCTACAGAATTTGATGTTGGCTGCAAAAGGGACATAGTATCTTTAAACTGTAGAATATTTTAATTTTTGTATACTGAGGATTCTTAAAGTACCAAATCGGCTTATATATTAGACTATTCTTCTATTGATGATTTTCATAAATGATTACTGAAATATATCTTGCCATTCATACAGTTCTAAAGTTTTCTAAAGATATGTAGCTGGAATAAAAATGATAATCATCATGTATACCTAAAGCATAAAATCAGTAAATCAGCATATTTTGTAAAAGTAATTGACATCAGAAAGTGTTAACACTTCTAAAAGGACACCCCCCCCCCCCCCCTCATCCCATAACGGTACAGTGATGGATGAGATCTATTTACCAAAGGACAGGGGGGGGGGGGGACAATTATGAACAGTTATTTGTGGATTTCACACTAGCGATCTTTCCCTCCTCCTTTTCTTTTTGTTTCTGTGCCGGTTTGTTGTGTGTGTTGTTTCTTTTTTTTGTGTGTGTTTTTTTCTTAAGGGTAAGGTCATCTTTTTGAGTTCAGTCATGGGAATATTTTTTTTTTTTTATAAAAAAAAAAAAAAATCCAAAAGAGGGGGGGGGGGGTTTAGGGAAATTTAGGGGGGGATTTACACAAAAAAACATACCAGAAATACCCCCCCCCCCCCCTGTGTACGCGCCTGTATATAGGTCTATATGTAGTGCTATTATAAACACATTTTCACCAGTTACAGATATATTTATATTTATTTTCACATTGAGAACTCCATACAACACGGAAATAGCATATAGCTGTAATAAAAACAAGATTCTAATGTAGATATCGATCTACATACATGTAGAAGTCTACGTCTAAAACAAATATTAACAAAAAAAGTAATTCCTGTTTTCATATTCTCTACCACCTATCATCACCTGCTTCGGATAAAGTCGATTTGGGAGCCTGGATACTGTTCTGTTACGTCGTTAAATGTGAGTTTAAAGATTGAAAATCATTCTTTCATGATTGAGTTTACGGAGTGAAGAGCGCTGTACTGTATGCACTGCTGTCGGCCCCTACTCCGATGCCGAGCTGCTATAGGCTAGCTAGGCCCTACGTCTAGTAGTAGTACTAGTAGTAAGAGTAGAGGGCAGCTCGAGAAGGCTGCGTTCGTGCAGTGCAGTTGCAGACCCTTCCCATCTGACTTGCGATATTTTCTTGCCATATGATCCATCCCTTCCATACACTGTCAATGATTATATTTTAAAGATGACACTTCACTATCTGGATCTGGATCTGGATGTGTACGATGCAGGGCCCTACTGTAGTACTGGGCATAAGATAAGCGCATCGGTTGAGAGAGAGGGCGCGGGGTATAAGGCTCTGTCAATGGCCTTCCTGAATGTGCTGGTTGATGTGGAGTTTATGGTGTTTTCATCCAAATGGTTCCATTCAATGATGGTAGATGGGAAGAATGAGCTCCTGTAGTTTTCAGTTTGTGCTCTGATGGGGTTGTAGCACTTGCTGTTGTTTGTCACTTGTCTGTCTATGATATTTGAGGTATTACAGTTTTCAAATTGTCTTGCACGGATACGTCGTTTTGATTTGGTTGGTTGAGCAAAGTTTTGAATTGGGAGAGCTGGCACCAGCCCCCCGACCACTTTGAATAAGAGGGTGAGTTTGAGGTTTCTCCTTCTTTCCTTTAGGCTAGGGAGATGGAGCTCGACAAGCTTGTTGGTAATGAAGCCCTCGTCTCTGGTCACATAATTCCCTGTGATAAAGCGAACTGCTCGTCTTTGGACGTTTTCAAGTCTGTTGATGTCCTTCTGCAGATATGGATCACAGCTAGGATGTAGCCCCATATTCAAGGAGAGATCTTACAAGTGCAGTGTAGGCTGTTCGCTTAATGTCTGCAGGAAAGAAGTGGAGGTTTCTGCGAAGGAGGGATAGGACCCAGTTTGCCTTTTGGGTGGTCTTTGCAACATGTTTCTCCCACTTCAAATCCTCTGAGATTGTGACTCCCAGGTAACGGATGTCTTGGACATATTTCAGGATGTGGCCACTAAGTTGGTAGAAGAAGGAAGACTTGTTGCAGATGCTCATGGTGTAGCACTTCTTTGTGTTAAAACACATGCCCCACTTCTTTGCCCAGGCATCTAGGGCTGCAAGGTCATCTTGTAGGATGTGATGGTCTTGTTGCTTCTCGATTTGGCGGTAGAGGAGGCAGTCATCTGCGAACAGTCTAACTTGTGACTTCACAGTTTCTGGTATGTCATTTACGTAGCACAGGAACATAAGGGGGCCTAGTACTGTCCCCTGAGGTACGCCTGAGTCAACATGAACATCATGGGAGGTCTCCCCTTCGACGACGACCCTCATGTGACGCTTAGTCAAAAAGTTCCTGAGCCATGTATGGATGGAGCCAGCGATTCCATATGAAGAGAGTTTGTGCATGAGCTTCTCATGGGGCACCTTATCAAACGCCTTTGAGAAGTCTAGCACTGCAATGTCTGTTTGTTTCCTTTGATCCTTTGGAACTAGATCTAGACTAGTACAGTCCGCCGTTGGCGAAGCACTGCGTACAAAACAGGACAAATCTTGCGCTTGCCCACTGTAATTCTATTTTTCATTCAGTCGCATAGCCAGGAGGAGCGGTAGAGGCGGTCACCTCCCCCCTCCCTCTCCCCCTCCCCCCCCAAAAAAAACTGCTGTCGAACCAAAGATCCCAGGTTCGACTACCACCCAGGGGGATGACTGAAGCCTGCGTTGTGTTAACGTGCCCCTTCCCTTGTTCATAGATCCAGGTTATGTCAAGTGGAAAACACTCCGTCCCTCGGATAGGATGTTAAATAGAGGCCCCGTGTACAGGAGAGTCACCACCCTTGCACGTTAACAACCCATTGCACTATTCGTATAAGAGTAGGGGGAAACCCCGGTGTAATGGTCCACCTGCATACCCCAACCAGGCAGAGTATACGGCATCTGCAAGAATCTTCAGTATTGAAGGAGGCAGATTATCTTGAAGAAGAAGAAGAAGAGAGAGGAAAGAAAAAAGTAAGAGGACATAGGAAGAAAAAGGAGCATGCAGACAAAAAAATATTGTTGAAAATTAAGAGTTGAGAAAGGTAAAAACAAATCGTCTTCTTTCTCTAATAATTTAATGAAATGTTAAAGCTTCCGCGCTTGTCACAGCTCACAGGAGGGGGTACATGATTCAGGATTTTTTAAAGAGTTCTAATAAAAACTTCTAGACTGTGTAATGAGTGTGTATTTTGTATTGTGCAATTATTTATTGTCGCAGAGAATTCTCATCTACCATGCCTTCATTTTTATAGATTTCGATAACAGCATAGAAGATGGCGAACCGTAGCTACAACAATACCACTCAACAAGCTGTCTCGAACCAGGGAGTTGGGATTGGGACTCCCCACTCGAACAATGTCAATGGCAACAACACCACATATCATCGTGGTTGCGTCTCCAAGGGCTTTCAGGTATGATGCAATAACGTATTTTCCAGACACTTAACATATTTTGTTGGTACTAAATAAAAGCTTTTCAATGCAATGCCTTGAAAAGTTGGTAACATTGATTACACAAATGAAATACCGATGAATGATATGAAATCCACTAACTTTGAAGCAGAGAATCTGCTGCATTTACTTAGCGAAGATCATCGAAACAATGGAACCATTCAATTTTAAATTTCAATAAGCAAGAAAAAATTAAGCCTCGTCTTAATTAATATCAAATACTTATTCTGTTGATTAACTTTTATTAAACACTGAAATAAAAAATAAATCATATTTTACATTAATCAAAGATTCAAATGATCGATGAGATAATTATGCAAATTTTTCTAGTTTTAAATGAAAAAACGACTTTGAAAATGTTGTTTATAACAAATTTCCAGACCTTTATCATTGTAACTACGGTAACCAAAACAATTTGGCTTTAAAATTTTTTTAAAGATATTTTTCATGAACCTGTCAAGCCAATGATACCATAGACCAGGCGCGAAGACAGGGGGGGGTTTGATGGTCAACCCCCCCCTCAAATTTGTTTTGTATGTGTGTTTTGCAGGAAAACCACCCCCCCAATCAATGTTTTTTTTTTAATTAAAAAAAAAAGAAAAAAAGTGCTAATGGGTGACCCGAAACAGGTGACCTTACCCCCCCCCCCCCCCCCCACCCCCAACGGAACAAAATTACGATCGGCCAAATTTCCAAATTTTCAGGAAAAAAAAAAAAAGGGAAAAATGTGTTCTTACCCTTAACCCCCAGTCCCCCCCCCCCCCCCCCCCCCCCCGCTTATTCAGCGGCTGGCCGAGTAAAAAAAAAATCAAATTAAAAAAAAACCTTCGAAAAAAATCCTGCGTATGCGCCTGCCATAGACCATAACATACTTGTACCCTACAATCCTAAATGTATACATGTTTGTAGGCCTTATAACTTGGAGGATGTATGTACATGTATGGGATGTTGAAATTGAGAGTTAATAGCCCCCCCCCCCCCCTCCCCCCGCCCTTTGCAAGGGGGAAACCTTTTAGGACTGTTCTTTTAAAGGTAGGAAACTATAGTTTCCTTCTAAACATAGAGATTATTGAATCTGAAGTGTGCGGACTATCTGCTATTCCACTAAAAATTCATAACGAGTATATATAGCTCTGAAGATCTGCATATGTAGTTTATTAAATTTGCAATGGGTGAATGATATTGTCAGGAACATTTAACCTGACACTGCCCTTTCCCCACATATTTTTGAAGTTGTTTCGTTTACTACTCCATTTTTATTAATTCTTCCCTTTTTGTCGTTCGTTTCTTTATGCAGGTGACAGGTATAATGCACATTGTGGCTGGAGCTTTGTGCATAGTGCTTGGTATTGCAGCCATCATTCTCCAAGCCTATATTTCATACCTGGCTATGCCCATTTGGGGAGGTTTACTGGTAAGTCAACAGAGATACTCAGTAAATAATAAAAACAAAAAATATACCGGTATATATTTATTTAGAAGCGACTTAACTACTTTCACAATTGGTCCAATTTGTCATATGTTGTTATTTTTTATATGATCCATGCAGCAAAATGATTTAATTACAACCTCAATTTTTCCAATCAGCGTAAGTTTCCTAGCATGAAAATAGCCAGTGTTAACAACTGACAAAAGTTTCTGATGTTACAGCATGCATGATGCAGGATACTTGTATTCCTGCAGATTTGTGCCCATTACTACACATACATGTACATGTACATGTGTAACAAAATGAATGGCTCATACGTTAGCCAAAGCGAAACTACGACAGAAATAGAAAAAAAACAAGAATCTGACTTGCTACGTGACATTTTGAAATCATTTCAAAGACAAAATATGCCACATGATAAATGTAGTGAGGTGTTTTTTTTACATTACTATTTGGAAAGGCTATATTTGATCAGTTATCTAAAGATATTCATGAAGTACAAATTTTTGTGTAAATATTTCTTGTTCATGCTCTGAATTAATCCTTTTTCTAGATCTTCATAGCAACTGGCACAATCGGTGTTGCTAACTTCTACAAGCCTAAAAGCAAGAAAATTGTAAGTATTGTTGAACAACCTTCCAGTTTCTTTATTTAAGTTAAACATAATGTTTTATGTACAGAAAATGATGAATCAACTCTGTTTCCATTGCCCACAGGTGTGGTTCTTAAGATTATCCTTATGGAAGTACATGAATGTTTATGGTAGCTATAAATAGTTGTGTAGGGTTTTTATCTTTTTAAGCAGTTTATTTTTACAGCTTTGATATCATACACATTATCTATGATCTTGGCACATACATGTAATTGATCGAGGTAAAAAAAAGGGGGTCTAAAAAAGTTCAACCGATATTGGAAAAGACGTGGCTACGTGCCTGCTGATACTAAGTTGGTTTTAGAATTTGAAAATGAGAAAAACAGATCACCAAGTAAATGCCTATAGACAAAATAAGAAATTCATGAATGTGTACTTGTAATCAATCAGATGCAAACTGGCTACACTGTGACATACCTTTAGAGCATTTCTCTCTCATTTGCCCTGTCCTGTACAAAAATATTTCATAATTATCCATTTCCTTTCAAACAAATATTTCTTTACAGCTACATTGCTCAGTGCTAAATACATGTATAATTATTAGACTAAGATCTTGGAACAACCTCTGTATTACATAACACTTGCCGATTATGCGCAATGTGCCCTGTACCACCCAGGTGACCAATTGTTGAAGGCTGTTTAATTACTTTTTTCTAGCATCACTGATAAAATAGTATCAACCCATGGAAGGCAAGAGCTAACAGAATTTCAAAGATGAATTAAAATGTGCAATATGATGTTACCTTTATTTCTTACTTCTTGTATATCAAAGTTGTTATAATTATATAATTCCTTTTGATTTTTATAAAGGTAATAGCCTACCTTGTGATGTCCACCATTTCTGCATTTTTCGCTTTCATGATGATGGTAACATTTGGGATTTTTGTTGCACAAGATGACAATTATTATGAGAGCTTTATTTGTTATCCCCTTCCAAGGACCCACTGCGAGAGCCCATCGGTAAGTGTAGTTATGTAACAATAATATTAATATAGGTTTTCCTGTCAATTTTATAAAGGTAATAGCCTACCTTGTGATGTCCACCATTTCTGCATTTTTCGCTTTCTCGATGATGGTAACATTTGGGATTGTTACTGGACCAGATTACAATTATTATCAAAGCTTTATTTGTTATCCCCTTCCAAGGACCCACTGCGAGAGCCCAATAGTAAGTATTATGTAACAATAATAATATTAATATAGGTTTTCTTGTCAATTTTAACACTCTTTTCTTTCAATTTTTTTTTTTTTCATTCAATTTTGTCCCAAAACTTCCTAATCTTGCACATCTCATGGTCAATTTTGTCATTTTGTAATAAATTTCGTCAAAGTGTCATTCAAATTCGTCACAATTCACAACTTTCTTATTGTTTGTCTGATTTTGTTCAAAGTTATGCCAATCTGCTTCTCTCATTTATCTGCTTTCTTTCAGAGCAATTTACTATAAAAGTTAGATTTTAGATACCGTATCCTCATAAAACACCTTCACAGCTCAGAAGAACTTCTCAGAAACACACAAAATTTACAAAGGAGGAAAAAATATGTGAGCTGTTTACCATGATGCAGCACCCTCTATATTGAATATCGAATAGTAATTGTAATAGTGTTATTATAGTGGACAGGTACAAAATGAACACATACATGTACTTTTGCCTTTGCCAGAAAGTGAAAAAAAATAGATCACAAACGCGTTAGTGGATGCCTTCAATTTTAACCCATGTATTTTGTGCCCCTATCTCTGACCAGTGGTCTCGCATTCTCGTCAACTCTGTCTTGATCTTGGTCTTCCTTCTGGAGATAGCTTGCGGAGTGACATCGGCCTCTATGTCCTGCTACAAGGCATGTATGTGCTGCCGACGTTGCTGCAAACTGTGCAAAGATGAGCCAGGAAACTCAAATATGGTGAGTGGGCCGTTCTCCAACAAATCCTCCGTTTGCAGCTAGGAGATCATCGAGTCATATACAGTCTGCAAAAAAAAAATTGAACCCTTTATTGTTCACAATTTTTTCTTATACACCGTCCATAAAATATAATGAAATGTATATCAAATAAAGGGAAAATTTATACTCTACCAACATCAATTTAGATCAAGTTTTGAACCTTTATGCTTCGATGGGCACATCTATTTAACTGTTGAAGGGTTTGATTAAAAAATTTGCAAAAATAGAGTAAGTAGCCATTGAAATGTTAGTGAACATGTGCATCTGTAAAATATTCTTGTTCAACGTACAATGAAAACACAGAATGAGAAACAATGAGAAACATTGAGCTTTTGATGTCAACCATTAAGATTTTTTTTCTCAATTTCTAGGTCTACTTTGCCGCCAATATGGGAGGTGTACCTATGATGACAGTGCCCAATACACAGTGTTCAAGACCAATCTACATTGCAGGTAAAGCCTATAACACACTATACGATCCCCCTGTGATCCAATTTTAGAAAAAATGGCAACTATATTAGAAATTTAAACAAACATCTTCTTTCTGATTTAGGTTCTAAATGATAATAAGGATACTAACAACCTGAATTTTTGCGGATTTAAATCTGAATAATAGCTGAATTGACTTCAAATCGTAGACAGCTGCACTACTCCTCTGACGTCACTACTATTCTGAGTTGATTTAGCTTTTCTTCCTCCAAGGAAACGTGGAATCCCTCCAAAAACAATGAAATGAAATATAGTACTACCGGTATACAGATCCTCAGCCTTTAAGATGCTACCCATTTAGATATGCATATAAAATGCAAATTCTTTCAAAATCGGATGGTATATAGTGTGTGGTGGGCAGCAGTTAATTTTGTCTATTTATCAAATATTTGCCCTTTAAAAAGAAGCACATTAAAACAGGCTTCTCATGGGTTTCAAAGTTTGTGTTTCCTTCTAGTCATGTTCAGTCATGTTCCCATGGGACCTTAGCATGTTCATGGTTTAACCAAAATCTGGCATTTCAACATGCCAATTCAAAACAATGTTACTCAGTGAAGTATGTATGGATTAAAGGTAATACAAAGTTTTGGGAAATTTTGAAAATTGGGTGGATAGTGATTCTTTACAATTTTGATATATTTGGATGCTTCCGTGGATGTATTATAAGCACTAAAAAAATTAGACCCTAAAACACTTCTGCTTTCTAGAAAAATTGGATATAAAAATTTAATGGTGCTCCCGGTAAATTTGGATAAATTACAAATAGTGCCTACGGCCGTACAATGGTAGCTGCGACCATGACATTCTCAGAATATGTAGTTGTAATATATAATTTCCAAATGGGAATAGCTAATCAGTCGATTTAGTCAAGAAACATTGTTTTATAGCTTAATAAATATCTTGACCTTGAGAGGGAGCTATACAACATAAAGAGTTTATTATTTACAATTTCATAACTTTAGACTCGATTTCAACCGCGACCACGATCACTGAACATTGTGGGATCGCATATGCTTCCAATATGTTCATTTGAACCAAATTCATGACCCCATACCAAAACTTTGTATTACCTTTAAAGTTATCAATGTCTCAATTGAAAGCATATTACTTTTTTTTATGAATAGTTACAAATGATATCTGTAGAGTCCATAGTTCGTTCGCAGCAAGAGTTTGTCTTCTGGGATACACTGTATATAAAATTAGAGGAAAAAAAAATCATCTTCAGTGATGTACATGTACAAACTGAAAAAAATTCTCTTCTTGGTAATTAAAAAACAACACATGTATTCATTACCACAGGTGGTACGTCAGGCAATGCTACCCAGCCTAGTCAATTGATGTATCTGGCACCAAGCCCTCAGCCTCAATCTTTTGTAGCTATGCCAGCAGGGACCCAACAGAACCAAACTATCCCACAATTGCCACCACCCCCGCAGTATCAACAAAACCCACAACTGCAGCAACAGTTCATACAACCGCAGCCTGCAGGAATGGTCCAGCAGCTGAGTGGCCTTCCAGCGGGACAAGCTGGCTTCGTCCAGGTCCAAGGCCCAGGGCAGATGCAGCCTCAAGGTCTTGCTCAAACCCAGCCAGCCACAGAACAGCAACCATCTCAACAGCCACAACCAGCAGGAATGGTCCAGCAGCCTAGTGGCCCTCAACCAGGACAAGCAGGCTTCTTCCCGGTCCAGGTCCCGGGGCAGATGCAGCCTCAAGGTCTTGGTCCATCCCAGGTAGTCCAACAACCACAACCAGCAGGAATGGTCCAGCAGCTAAGTGGCTCTCCACAAGTTGGCTACTTCCAGGTGCAAGGACCTGGAGGACAGATCCAGATGATCCCTGCCCAAGCACTCTACCCACAGGTCATGATGGCGCCAGCTCCTCAGCAACTTGCACCAACTCCGCAACCTGTACCGACTCAGCAGCCTGGACCCGCTCAGCAGCAAGTCCAGCAGACAACAGCGCCCTCTAAGCCAGCTGAAGACCAAGCTAAGGAAGAAGTCAGCGAACCAAGCGAGTTGCCTTCTGGTCAAGTCACTTCTGGCCAGTTCAGTGACCAGGCTGCACTCATCTAAGCTTAACAATGAAAGTTCATCTATCTTCAACTTACTAATAGTCTTTGTAATCAACAGTCCTGACAGATGCTCCATTATAATTTCATTGTAGAGAAATATCAATACACACAAGATGTAATTACAAAGTATCTCCACGTTATACATTAGATCTAAAGAACAATCTGACATTCTTGTTAAATGATTTAACTAAAATGATCCAATATCTTTGAGTACCGGGTAGGTGACTAGGTGGACCCTCTCAAAGATATTCAGTGTTGTCACTTTTAGTAGTACCGGCTAGAGTTTGGTCCTCATCAGCAAGTTATATGTAAAGCAAATATGACTCTTTTTCTAAAAAAAGAAGTTTTTATTCAAATCAGTAAAGCATTTGAAATTAGTGTTATGATACTAGCCAAAATTATTTTAAGATATGTACATGTATTTTACTTTTTTATATTAAAGCTAAGGTTGTACTGTTAATTTGAAATATCTATGTTAAAGTACTATGTTATGACTCAGAGTCAAATTGATAGTTTGGGATTGTACATGTAAATACTAATTTGTATATTATGTATGCATACATGCAATTCTTATACCATATTACATATAATCATAGAAAAAATTTCACTGTATAAATTGAATCTCTATTAATTCAAATTTCATTGTAAGTGTGCCTATAGGTGTTTTACTTTAACTCTTTTTTTTATTAATTTGATTTAATCACATTTTATTTGTTGATAATGTTACCTGCCATTAACATTTAAGAGGCTTTCACTGATTATACAGTGTAGATTATGAAATGAACAATCTATCATTTATAATTAATTATATTAATTGTGTAGAGAAACATCTTTTTTTTGCTTTACAATTATCCAGATCATGTTCAAATAAAAGATTCATTATGAATTGATCAGTACTCTTAGATTATCTTATTAAGTAGAATTCAAGGATTCAATTTCTATTACTAATAATTTTCAAAGCCTATTTTCCTGCCCTTGCTCATATTGTAAATGAAATCCAACTGAAATAGATGTTATGCACCTTTGTTAAACTACTGTGGGTAACGGGGGAACAGAAACTTATTCATGAGTAAAACTCAGCTGAATTTTGTCTATTTAGTGTAATATATAATATGGAAAATGCACTGCTGCAATCAATTTGTGAATGCAGCTGTCTTATATATAAATATATGAATGGGTTTGGTTTTTATATCTTGTTTAATCTTTTCTTTCATTTCATTTTTAAACAAAAAACTTTTTAGGATATATATTTTGATTTGTCACACAACAGTACTATATACTACCAGAATTATAATAGAGGAAAATCATGCAGAATATATATTATGTAACCAACTTTTTCTTCAGGAACAAAGTGGCTTATAATTAAGTGCATACCATATACATTTGGTCAAAAAAAGGAAATATGGAAAAATGAATACTAAAGAACAGTCAAAATGCATCTCTTTTCCACCCAAGATTGTGGAGGAGCCATGGGATACTGCCATGTGAATACTGCCAGATACTCCCATCTTTGCAATTGTTTTCTCAGCGACTCATTTCTGGTTAAAAACGTTTGCTCACTCATGCATGAGTGGTATGATACCAATTGCATATCATAGAGAGGTTTGATTTTTGTTAATATATGAAAGATAAGTTTATATTGAATACATGTATATATTTGAAAATCTTTACTATGAATATTTGTTCACCTTCTTTCTATTAGAATTACTTAACAATTACAATTATTATGTACTATTTAAATCAAACATGTGTATTATGTCTTTAATGGCTTTTAAAGATATTTGTCATGTCTATTTGTGTAACCTTCTAAAGGTGTAATTCTTAACAGCTCTTATTGTCATGTGGTATGCTGGCTTTCAGTCAATAATAAACTTGCTTACTAGCAATCAAGTATCTTCTCATAATTGTGAATACTTTCATCCAATTTATTTTATTTTGGCGGTGTTTCTTCCTTGTTATAAAGTTCAATGTAATCCAAGAATAATTTAAATAATAATTTACTTTAATAACAATGTAATAATATTCAGGCAATTGTTCCTCATATCTAGGGAGATGCCACCTAAAGTTCTGGCCATGGTGGTCCATTTGCAATTTTAATATCTTGCTACATGTATCATCTTTATTGCAAAAAGGTAAACAATTTGGCTTAATCACAATTTCTGATATGCGGAAAAGATACAACAGCGCCGTACCCCCTAAAAAATTGTGCCTATAAATTACCGAAATGGGTCATCAATTCATTTTTTTTTTCTTGGCGAATTTTTGTGGTCTCTGTTTGGGATCTTTGAGCTAATACATACATTAACTACTCTCCTAGAATTACAAATTTTAGATACTAAACATTGAAATCATGTTCGTTGATGTAGATAATGTTTATGCATGTGCAGACCATCATACATGCCTGGCTCCCTCTTTAGCTGAAAACTTTACATCTCTCACACACCTCAGGCCTTGCAATACATGTGGCGCTGTAATTCATCTACTTCCTATTTCATGTATATCCTGGCAAGTTAGAGGGAAAAAAAGAGGTAAAGAGAAAGAGGAATCCGGCCAACTCCCCCGTTTTAACTATTGATTTCAGCCCTCTATGGAAAAGGTCGAGAAAATCTAGTTTTCAGTGAACTAGCTACAAGTTTATTTTACTCTATTTTATTTCAAGAAATACAAAAACAGAACATGTACATTGAATTCAAAGTGGAAGTTGTGAGTAGTAATGAGTGAGACAAGCAGATTTTAGATGCATGTTAATTGGCCTACTTATATAAATATCATATATGTCTTTCAGTACAAATTACAGACATTGTATACAATGTATATTGCAATAATCATAATCATGCCATTAGACATCAATCAATAAAGCATCAGAAAATTCTACTAATTTCTTTTCATAGCAAAATATATGTTTTATTGTCTTTGTATCATACATATATTTGTTACAAGGATTGCTATCCCATTTAAGTGCACAATTGTGCACACTGTTCACACGTAAATTGATATGAAATATAAAGCTACGATGCTAAATTACCAATAAAATATCCACCATGCCAGTAATATAAACAATAGAAAATACCTTTCATAGCTCCCCCCCCCCCTGCAAAACTATAGAAACTTATACATATGTGTCTGTCATCAAGTTAGTACTCATACATGTATGAATGTCACTGATCCAAGATTTAAAAAAAAAAAATCAGCGTAGCTAATTTGTGCATTCATATCTACAAGTTTTCTTAATATCTTTGCTCCCAAGGATGCAACTTATGATGTAGGATGACTACTAAATTCGTTTAGGCAGTCAATAGCCCCCCCCCCCCCCCCCAAAAAAAAAAAAAAATAAATAAAATAAATAAATAAATAAATAAATAAATAAATAAATAAATAAATAAATAATAAAAATAAAATAAAATAAATAAATAAATAAAAAATAAAATTAATATATAAAATTGAAATTAAAAATCAAAAAGTATATATTTTCTTAAATAAATGAATAAAGAAAGTAAATTATACGAATGAAAAAAATAAAATAAAATACATAAAAAAAAAATTAATTACTAGATTATTCAAATAAAATAGATAAACAAATACATAAATAAATGAGAAAGTAAATAACAAAAATTGAGAAAAGATACTTGAAGGTATTAAACATATTAGAACTCTGGCAATAATTGGCAAATCACTTTCAATCACATTCCTCAGCTTTTTAAATAATTTTATTAGTAAACTGTACAACAAATTTCATCATCTGAACCTTTAACAAATTTCAATAAAATGACATAAACATTGTGCAAGATCAAATTTGTCAGTGCCGGTACTCACTTCTACAAACTTGAATGATAAGGCACTTTTTAATGAAAAGATCATACATGTATATAGAAGAATAACCATCATAATGCAGGGCGGATCTAGTGGGGGGGGGGGGTTCGGCGGTTTAACCCCCCCCCCCCCCCCCTTGGGCGGCCAAGTGAGAAAAAAAAAGGGAAAAAAGAAGAAAAGAAAAGAAAAAAAAGAAGGAGAAAAAGTAAAACAGTAAAATGGCGCGATTTTTGGAAAATCCTAGATTCGCTCCTGTAATGAACCAATGGCTGTACAAAAGGGGTACAGAAATAGATTTTATCTGTACCATAAAAATATTATTTTGAAGATACAAAACGAACTTAATATGATACATACAAAAATTGTTGTTGTAGCTCTTTGAAAAACATGTCAACATTTTGAATGCACATACCGTGATGTTGAATGACAAAGCATCTTACGGTAATCGTATTCATCTACATGTGCCCCTACAGCATTAGAATTAAACTGTTGGTGACATAGATAGCAACTTTTCATTTATTTTAGTGATATTCTGACCACATTTCTTGAAATGGATTTAAGATCAATTTGACTCTTTTCAAATACATTGTAAGAGCAAAACATTGAAGTGGATAAGGAATAAAACTCTAGATTTCCATATTTCTAAAGGTCACCATATTCCCGCATAAAATATTAGAGCTATAATATGGCAATTAAAAGAAATGTCTAATTCAAAGCTCCTAATTAAAAGTCTAATTCAAAGCTCCTAATTAAAAGTCTAATTCAAAGCTTCTGATCAAACTATCGGAATTTCATTACCTTTCTATGCAATTTGTTAGACAAAAATCTTGTGCATGATTCATTTAGATTGGCATGTTGCCAATTTGTCAGAGACCTGATTAATTCCAATCATTCTTATTGGCAACCTACAAGATTACACAGAATCTGGTCACACAAGTATTTTTAGTTTTATACTGAAATTACTTCCTGACTTTGGAAAGCTTTGCAAGGCATTTTTAGGACCTCGAAAAGACAGTTTTAAATGTCATGAAGAAAAAAATTCTGGTATCTAGTTTTGATTTCAATATATTCTTGCTGTAAGTGTTTTGAATGAAGAGATAGATAATTACCGGTAACATAATTTCTTGGTACCCTTATTTCTTGGTACCCTAACTGTTTCCACAAAAAATTATGAAACGTAAAAATAAAGAATGAAAAGTCCTTGAATCATTTTCAGATGGATGTGATATCAAATTCTACACACAAAAAAAAATCTTTTTTTCTTTCAACAGTTCCTTTAAGATGAGAACTGTGGGTGAAGAAAATCTCCCTAAATAAAAACAACCTTCAACTCTAAAGATGAAAATAGTTGTTACATGTACCGTATCACATGTTGGATCCTGTTATAGAAAGGCAACAAAATATAATCCTATCGCATTTTGAGACTGATATCTACTTCACCCACCTTTATTTTCATTTTTGGTCCCTTAAAGATGGAATCTGCGGGGGAAGAAATTCTCCCAAAGAACCCAAAGTGAAAACATTTCCTTTAGAGCATGACACATATACTCTTCTGAGATAGGAAAGAACGTATCATCTTAACATATTTATAAAGGAGAGATATATATGTATACACCCTGATTCAACCCCACTTATTTTCACCTGATTAATCCCTTTAAAATGGAACCTGTGGGTGAAGAAATTATCCCTAAACCTTCAAATCCATCCACAGATGAAAATATTTTCTACATCGGGCATGACACAGATCCTCTTTTGGTTATTCCGAGGTCTTACGCTGTCACATGACCATACTTTTTCAAGATTTGAGCACCATAGCACAGCTGGGCACATACTTGTACATGTCCACCGCAGATGTCAAATTCTGGCGCGTTCTTACTGATTTTTGTGACACTTATGTGCCCCTGACTCAGACATTGGTGTCTGAAACCCTAAAAGGGAACAGTCAAACATGAGCTGTACATATGTAGACAATGCAGGGGGGGTGTTTCACAAAGACTCAAAGTCGAACTTAACTCTAAGTTGGACTTAAATATTAAGGAGAGCCATTTGTAGCTTTAAAATAAAATGTATTCAAAAGCAAAAATTCAAGTATTTTAGACTTTTAATAAACTCCATATCAAGAACATGAAATATCCCATGATGATAGAAAATATGAATGATTTGAATCATCAATTTATGCCTTTTAAAATAACTTTTACAAAATATTTTCCTTGATGCTAACGGCTTTCCATGATTGTTAAGTCCAACTTAGAGATAAGTTCAACTTAGGATCTTTGTGAAATACCCCCAGATCTCATTGCCAATCACATATACATGTACAGGTAGGAGTCCTTAGAGGAGTCCTCAGAAGAGACCTTATACCTTTTTGTCAAAGGGAATAAAGGCTATCACATTATATGACCTTATAGTCAGACCATTACTAACATACAAAACATAAGACCTGGCTTGTCTGAAGTATAAGCTTATAGTCCTAATTTCATAACCTTGACCAGTAAGTGCTCTTCCTTATTAAAATTGAGATACAAGCATTAAAATCAGAGAGAAAAATAAGGATGTTATCAATTAATACCAGGATGCAAACATCAATCTAATTTGGTCCTACATTGAGGTATAAATCCTAGATTAGACTCTGATCTATCCCCTTCAAGGTTTCATCTACTAAAACTTCACAAGTAGAGAATTTTGAATGATGATACGTCCTTGTATGTATCTTCTGGAATTGCCATGTTTAATTTTGTATAAAAATTGATTGCATAGCAAAAATTTCAATAGGTCTGAAACCAAGTGGAATGCCATTCAAAGGGTTTTGTTTCCAATGAGAAAATTCACTATAGGCCTAGAGTTAATATCTTGGATACCATTTGAAGTCATGGGTATTTTTCACTGATTGGCCACTCTCCACCCAGGTGTAGTAAATGGTGCTGAGAGTGTTGACAGTGTAACTGGGTAACTAGTTCCATCTTATCAAAGTTGATGGATGAAAATTCAAGGATATGTCAACTTCTCTCATTTCCAAACGGATGTTGCTACTGGTAGACTCGATACATCAACGATGCCATCCCATGCTATCTCCTTGAAGTATTCTAGTCTGTGGCTGGAAGATTGAAAAAGCAAAAATTATTTTATTATTGATCTATCAATTCATTTGAAAATCTGATACTTGATAAGATGAATAAATAAAGGATAGAGAGATTTCTATTTACAATGTACTAAAAAAGGGCTTCAAATTTTGAATCTGGAAAATATTAATGTGTTTAAAATCATAGAAAAGGACAATAAACTGTAATAAAATATGTAATTTGCTAATAACATAAGGACCTTATACCATGCAAAACAGTGGCATGATATATCTATAACTTCACTCTTCTCCCTCCAAGTCAATTATTTCATCATTACTCTTAAACACTTGCATATACATGCACCTACAAGTGGCAAAAGAATGAATAAAATTTACATTAAAGATTCTTGGTTCAATCTACTCGGAAAAGATTTAATTGATTTAGTTTGAATGTCTCCTTTTATTTCTAATAGTTTCTCTGCATCATTTAAAAAAACAATGGATACTGAAAAATTGCAATCACTCAAATTTGTCACAAAAACAAAAATGCTGCTTATAAGTATCGGCTTGCTTGGTGATGCCAACCTGTTCGAAACGTCAAACCACTCCACTAACCAACCGGCGCTATAGTTCTCTTTCGAACTATTAAAGCTCAAGAAAGATTACCAACATTCTTTTTCAAGACTACCAACAGTTCTTTTCAGGACTCCCCAATCCTTCCCTCTTTCTCTCACATGGTGCAACCATAATCCTACTGTATAAAAACAAAAATGTTTGATTAAAATGGGCCATAAACTGTAATATCTCATATCACTTTATCAGTATTCAAAAAAGGCAATGATGCTATTACAAGATCGCTGATAACATGTCAGACTATATTAGGAGATGAACTAATCTCACTTCACCCGTGACACCTTGTGAAGGCAATGTTAATATCCTCATTTAATCTATATAGCCTTCAGACTTCAAATAATCCTACCCCTGTCTGTATCTTATCAAATATGGTGTTAATTAATCACTATCAACACCCAAAATGCAATCTGGCCTTGCATGGTGAGGGAAGAAATCATTGCATGGAGACCTAGCAAACCTAGCAAGAACTATAAACTATCTTTAATAGCAAGAAACTTATCTACAGTTTCAAACCCATACACGGGAGAAAAATCATTTGATTCCTCAAAAGCTCTTAATCCCTTAAAATTGAAATTTTCTTTATCATATATAACACTATTCAGATCCTTGTCATTAACATTTTATATGTTTGAATTTTCTTAACAAATAGTGTTGCAAATTCTTATTGCATTTTGAGGGTGCTGCTCAATAACGATTGGAACACGTACTTCATAAAGTCTGTATATCCAACTTTCACTTGCGATGATTCAAATGGTGAAAGCACAGATCTTAATCTTCCAGGTGTTCATTGCATATACCTTGGTTTTACACAATAATGTAGCCCATGAGGGGGCCCTTACGCTCTCAAATAGTTGAGAAGTGACTGTTTTTTCTGAAATCTTCAACAATACACCCTGTCAGGTTAAAGGAAGTGGTTGACATTACCCATACACCTGCCTCAAAACCACATCGTGCCTCTGGGTGTATTTCTCATCTCGAAAGAGATCCTCTCAAAAAGCCTTAAAGGGCAGTTGAAGTAGAGGATTGGAGAGGAGGAGGCGATATAGAGGGGTACAGGTGGAAAGGGGTGAGAGACAGGGGCAATTCACCACCCCTCCTCATATAGTGGTATTGTAATAATAAGTTCACATTATCCTAACACCACTTCAAAACCACCTTGTGCATCTTGGTATAAATATACCTCTCATACAAAAGGAATTCATCTAAAAAGGAAGGACAATGGGAATAGTGAAAGGGGCAAAGGTGGGGTCACTGGGGGGTGTGGGGGGGGGGGGTAATTTCATATCCCATCCCAAAAGGAAACATTAGGGGGTTGAATGTGACCATATAAACTATCTTGCCTCCTGTGTACCTCTCATCCACAAGAATTCCTCTAGAAAGCAATTGAAAGGCAGTTGGAGTGGCTAATGGGGGTAAATGGGATCAAAAGGAGGGAGGGAAAGAGGCAGGCCTAGGGGAAATTCCCAACCCACCCTTTAAAACAAAGTTATCATTGAACATGTCAGCATATTACTCCCATTTTATATAAACCACACCATGCCTCTAGGTGTACCTCTCCTCCAAAATGGGTTACTAACTAATAGAATTACAGGCCAATCAGAATGGCTGAAAGGGGCGGGAAGAGGGCATGAGGCCATTTCAACCCCTTTTCATGATGTAATATGGAAAGATTGTGCTGACAAATGTGAGCATGTATTATTCTAGCTGAATCAGAACCACATCATGCCTCTACATACAACTCTCATTCAAAATGAGACCTCTATAGAGGAATTAACTTTAAGGACATTATTCACTTACAGGAATTAAAATGGCTTAAGGGTGGTAGAGGACAAATAAATTTTGGCACATTTTAACATTCGGCTGATAAATATGAGCATATGATTCAGACTTTATTCAGACTTGATTCTTCACTTAAGTGTAAATGTGTTTTTCTAATCTGCTGGCCGGGACACCATCCTATCAAGGACTGGTGGAGCATATGCCTTGGTTTGCTTCGGGAGAATTAAGACATTTTTGTTAAATATTCCCTCATCCCTAGAGGTAGAGCTCTTGAAGTTGGTTGATTGTATGTGCATTATGTGAGACCCGTTAGTCGTAAATCTCAAACCGCAGGACGATAATCATGTACACCTACATTCTGGGGAAAAACAAGACGATGTGCTTACAGTATGAATACCCCGTCACTGGATTCTGTTTCGATTCTGCATGTACGTTACAGTGCACACTCTTCATTCCCTTGGGGGGCATATTCCAGCCAGTCGCCTTTTTACGGGTGCTCACATGCTTATGTTCATGCACATGCTTATGCTCATGCACATGCTAATCCAACCACAGTAACTTTTACATCCTAGCAGGTGTCCATTTAACACCTGGATGGAGAGGAGCAGTATACCTTGCTCAAGGACATTAGTGCTATGTCAGGGATCTATCCCACATCCTTTGCATTCCTATAGTCGAGTTATTAGACCATTCCTCTACGACACCTCTACATACATATACATGTATGAACTCACTATAATTTTCAATACCTCGAAAGAAGTTTATTAAACATGCCATAATTTGGGGAGTTTTCCAAGGCTAAATTGTTTTTGGCTCAAATTCCTTTTTTTTTCTACCACACTAGTCAACACCTGTCCTGTGGCTTGATCTCAAATCCACAAAAACACCAGAGGGAAGTTGTCACTTTAGAATGTTCCCCCTCTTGATCCCCTCCTCAACCTCGATCCCCTTAGTACCGTACCACATGGCCGGAGCCGTTTTAAATCAAAGTATATAGGCCTGTCCTCATCAGCTCGAGATTGCCAAATATCTCGCTATTTGTCCGGTGCGTCGTCACCAGCCTGAAGACTCACACTATGCATAAATGCTGAGCACAATATCTTGAGCTAATTTCTCGAGCTTGAGTTTCAAGTTTCGAGGTCAAGTCTCGAGCTGATGAAGATGCCATTTGTAACTTCGGGATTATTTCCCAAATCAAAATTAGCGGGCTATTTGGCAATCTCGCGCTGATGAAGACAGGCCTATATCTCCTTCCCTCCTTTCTAACTAGGAAAGCAACACCTACATGTATAAACTTCTATGAAAGCAAAGAAATTATTGAATGGCCATCAATGGCAGAAATTCAAACTGTGGCAAAGCATCCAAACATGTGGATGAATAAGTAATACACTTACCGGTAGTCTTTTTCCCCCCCATAAATTAAAAGGGGAAGGTAAATTTTATCTGAGCAGCAGTGCACTGAATGAAAAGCCCAATTTGGACTCTCCTTACAATTTAAGGACTATCAATAATCACTTGTTTATATGAGAAATAAAAATATTTAACCAAAACAACAACAAAAATCAAATTTGTATGTACTGCAATAAAAAAAACCCATTCATATAGGGTCTGCAGACATAGACTAGGGGTTAGAGATCACAGGGAGGGGTAGGATGTAAATGTAAGAGTGCCCCTTTGTCAACTTCCGTTTCCACCCCTTCACATTACCCCTTTCTGTGGCAGTGAGGCTACCACAATCTATCTATAGATTTTTATCTTTTCAAGCACTGCTGATTTCCTTCCAAAAGTAACAGTAGAAAGGTGAAACCCTGCGGTTAGTTTTTAAAGTTCCCCTCTCGATTTCCTCCTTTTGGGATTTTGTCATAGCTGGCCATGACGTGTCCATTCCATTTTGTATTTGGTTAATGCACGGAGGGAAAGTATACTTTGAGCTATATCACAATGCATCATAAGCTGATGACAACCACACCCCAACACCAAGTAACCCTGACTGACATTGGTCGCTACATTACCTCCCCATGCCCCGCCCTGCCCTTCCTCTCCCCATCCACTGACAACTGCTTTTAAAGTCCCTGTTGTCCCCTTCATCCGGAATCCCATTACACCATTCCTACCCCTCCCATTCCCTACCTGTACCTCTTCCAATACCATTCCCTCACTAAGCAATCCCATTCATTCCATCCTTAAATGTCCTCCTCTCCCCTCTCCTAGCTCCCTCCCCCTCTCCCCATTCCCCCTCCCTTCCATTGAAAATGTATGATATATAATTGATTCCTACTCAGGCTACCATCCCCCTCCCCTACTCCATCCCCACTACACCTCCCAAGGAAACTCACAAGTCCGGTTGATCATGCTTGCCCCTCTCGGCCGGGTACAGAGCCTGGTACTCCCTCTGCTCCCCCGTCCCGTGGATTGCATACGCATTGAAGCCTCTTAGACCGGGAGGCAGGTACTCCAGAGGTACGATGGCTGACCCCTTCCATGAAGACCGGTCCTCCTGGATGCTAGCCAAGAACTCCAGGGGAAGCCCTTCCTGTGTGTGACAATTAGGAGCAAGGATGAGAGAGAGAGAAGGGATGTGAGAAATCTGACCTCACAATCACCCGACTCATACAAAAACATCATTTCAAACAGTATACATGCAGGTACATGTATAGATTATTAAGTGCTTATACCCATATAAATGTATTACTGAGCAGTTACATCTATGTCACATATTAATAAACATTATCAATTATGTAGACAGACTTGTATTTCTAATAAAATATATGTATGTAATACATAATACAAATCAGATTTTAATCATGAGCCTTCAAAGCTGATTTTAACAATAAATATGTTTACAAAATTGAGATTTTTGTAATGACATTGTAGCATCATGACTTTCTTACATGAGATTCCTGTACTACAACACAATAAAATATGAAGCACAATTAAGCTTTAAGTGTACATGTTCACCTGACTAATACATTACCATCAAAGTCTTATAATCTACAAGATATCAAATCAATCAGGATCCTTTTGAAAAATGATAAATTGGCATGTAATACTGTATTAATAATGTTTTGAAGGAAGGGAGTAAGGAAAGGGGTGCATTGGGGTAAGGGGTGGGGTTTCATAGAATTTAAATTACTGCCTCTACCTAAAAATCTTAGCTGGTAAAAATTAATAAAAAGTGAAAGAAAAACACAACATATGGGCATCTGAAGTAACAATGCAGGCATGTGTGAGTCCAAAAGAGAGATGAGTTCAGGGAGCTATCTTTAGTCTGAGATATACACATGCAAAGACATCATATCCTGTTGTGAGTTGAATATCAGCAGGAGTTAATTTTGTTTTTCAAAAGGCATTATACCAAGGCCAACCTCCTTAATTCCTAGCACACTCTAATCATTCATGCACTTCCGCATATGATGAAAAAGTTTCTAAAGACTTTACTCACTTTGTCTCATCAAGCTTCAAAATAGTATTAGGTATTCAAATTTTAAAACTTACATTTGATTAACGATTTTTCTCTAAATGTATGTTTAGCAAAAACGGACTTTCAAATGTGAGAAACTCACCTGTGTGAGAAAACCAAGATATAGTTTGGGTGAAATGTCAATGTGCACTGCTCAATTATACTCTCTCTCTCTCTCTCTCTCTCTCACCCTCCTCTCTCTACCCTTTCATATTTCTCTCCATTTCTCGGTGTCCATCTCTTTCACCCTTCTCTGTACCTATCCTTCATCTTTCATGTTTCCTCATAAAAAGATTAAGTCTGTCTAGGACCCTGTGAATAAGTTCCCCATTTCCTCAATTATTCTCTTTATTTTCCCTATTCCTCTTCCTTGAGATCTATCACATATATAGCAACAGGAAAGATGACAAGTGAAGCTTTTCTTTTTCCTTGCACAGAAAGGTCAACATTTAGAGCTCTGATGTGCATAACACTAGAATGAACATTAAAGATGTATATGTAAAGAACAAAGAGTTCCTTTCACCTAAAATTATCAAAGTTTCTTTTTAACCTCAGTACCCTGTTACTTAACATATAAATCAAAAACTTTAAAATAGCCAAAAGTTTTCAATTGTATAACCCTGTGAATGTCTTCCCCTATTCCTCAAATACCTGGACTTTCAAAATGGCTACATTCTCTCTTTAAAGGGTACTCAATGACACATACATACAGATTGTATCCAACTACTAATTAAGCAATTACATCAGTCCAATTAATTAACTCTAATCAGTAACTTTATTTCCAACTGACATCCTTTTGGAAAATTGATTAGTTCCTTTGCAAGACTATAGTGCAACATATCATGTCCTCATAATAATTCAAAACGGCTACACTTTTTCTCTAAAGGGTTCCTATTTTAATCACCAAAATGCATTAGTTCTATAACATGAAGCATGTTTCTTCACTTGTAGAGTATCGGTACTGGAAAATGCATTAATTCAATAAAAAAGCTCTACTCTTTCCCTAAAAACATACCTTTCCAAAATTTCTACTGATTTACTTCAATAAGTACAACTGCTGAGCAAGTACATTTCTTCAATTCTACATATTTGTAACAGAATTCTAGGAAATGCATTAATTCAATCAATTAACTCTCTTTATCGCCATGGTAACTGTATTTTCAGCTGGGAGAAGGAAGCTGACATTTTTTCCTCGACAAACATATCTGGAAATATGACTCATCGTAATTTCAAGATGTTTCGAAACTGCTATCAAGACACCCTAGCTCATGAGGCCGACTGAGCGAGTACGATCTGGAGATTAAAGAATTTAGATATCGCCATGGAAATTGACAAGGAAACTGAAAATGTGCAGAGTCAGGGTGCACATGGTATGGTGTCATCAGTCCATGAAATACAAAAAAATGTTCATGTTTTATCTCTGAACATATATTTCTTACATATACCTGTGCAAAATAGCTGCAGCAAGACATGTAAATTTAAGGGACCGAGGTTGTTATAATTAACTGCTATGTCAGTCAATAAACATTAATTTGTTTATGCTTGGATCAACCCACATAAAATTGCAAAATATCTGAGTAGGCTTTAATAGATACAGAAATATACAACTACCAATAGATTTTTAAAAGTCATAAATCTTCCCAAATAGTGTATGATCACCGTATAAAATATCTTGCAATTTTCATTACCCGGTAGATGTATGAAATCTAAGTGTTTTATATCTAATTTAGATTGTTGCAATCTAATGTAATTAAATCATTAAAATTTAGAGCTTACAATAAATCCCTGAAACTATTCTCATCTTAATCTTTAAAACAAAGTTGAAAAGAAGATGTAGAAAGAGCAGACTAAGAGGATTTCAGTATGTCTTGCTATAGTGGGATACCAGCTCAATCCAAACTCTGTACAGCTGTGCTTCACATTCAAGATCAAATAGAATTTTGGATCACTCCAGACAGCTTCAGAGAACCCTTCATTTTTTTCTATTTTTTATTTTTTTTAAATTTGTTTTTGTTTTTTTGGGGGGCATTAAACCGGCACGATTCTAAACTCTTGAAGACCCAACGAAAGCCCCTACAATCAAATGCCTTTCATATAAATAGTGAGCAGGCCCTAGCCTCTACATGTAGCTCTGTGACTATCTAAATCAGATATCTATACAATGTGTTCTTCATATACAGGAAATTGAACGTTGGATCATCCCTGACAGGTTCGCAGGACCCTTCACATCACGTCCCCAGTTTGGCAGTGATGCAGCGGTATTCTTGGTCCTCTCTACAACCGCAGATATGGAAACCAGATTGATTCGCAGGAAGGGTAAAGGAACTTCTTAGTCTGCTCCATAAGACCCACAAAATATGCCCTACATATAAGCTATATTTATGCCATAGTCGAAGGGTGATCGACGTATGGTTCTACTTCATATACGTCTCCAATACACCTTTCACTAAGTTCTTAAAGAAATTCTTTAAAGCCTATCTGCACTAGTTTGGCCAGGAGGGATTAGACCTCCCTGCATGGTTACTGACAGATGGTTATCTCATCAAATCAGCTTTCAATTAACATAAGAAAAAGGGAACCATGGGGGACCAATAGTCACCGATGAGGCATTGTTTGCTTTCTAGAGGGCGCAAGTAGCTATAAATAGTGCAGTGGGGCTTTAAATTTGTGATTTCATGTAAAAGATGACTGGAGAAGATCAAATACAGTCCTCTCCTCCAGATGACCCTAAAAGTTTCCTCTATAACAAGAATGAATCTCTGTAACACAAGGGCAGAGTGTGAGTGCAACTGACAGAACTGGTCAGAAAATGGAGAGAATACAGGACAAATAGTACATAATTTTATCACTAAAAAATATACCTAAAGAAAGAGCTATAAGGGATGACAAATATAGGTTACAGCTACCAATGTATTAATGACAGAGAGAGAGAGAGAGAGAGAGAGAGGGGGGGGGGTCTCTTTCTCTAAACAGAAGGTGAGGGAAGTGAACTCTTAATGAGGGGTGTCCTTAAATGACTTGGAATGTAGTCACGTGTATGCTTGGTCCATGTTGTCAAAAGCCATGGGGGATTCACGCACAAAGTCCCCCCCCCCCCTTGGTTTCTCTCTCTCTCTCTCTCTCTCTCTCTCTCTCCTTCCCTCTCTCTCTCTCTCTCTCTCTCCTTCCCTCTCTCCCCTTTACTCTCTCCTTCCCTCTATGTTTCTCTCTATCCCTTCCTCCCTTTTCTCCCTTTCTTTATCTTTTTTCTCTCTTTCTTGTCTTTCAGTTTCCTCTCCTATCTCTAAATCTCTATCTCCATTTCCTTTTCTTTCTTTTCTTTTCTCTCTCTTTCTATCTCCTTTCATAACTCTCTGCCTTGTTTCTGTATCTAACCTTGTCACATGCCAAGAGGGATTCCTGTGCAGGCCAGTCTCTCTCTCTCTCTCTCTCTCTCTCTCTCTCTCTCTCTCTCTCTCTCTCTCTCTTTCTCTCTCTCTCTCTCTGATCGGGGGGAAGGCTCCCTGCCTCAATCCCGGGCAAGTGATCTTCCTGTGTTTCATCGCTTACTAAGAGGGACCAAGAATCAGTCGGAGGTGATTCACTCCGCCAACCAAACCGTTAGTCAAGCTTGCGTTCTACCCGCACCAAGTGCAAAAGTAGATTTCAGGATAATCCTAGGCAGGAACATACACCCAAAGGAAGATACAGGAATATAGAAAGTGCCTACTTCCAATTGACTGCTCTGAGGAACTTGTTCTAGAAAATTCTGATATCATTGGGAGCTTAATTTTTCAGGAAATACCAAAAACTGGTGAGTGATATTGCTAGTTTATATTTTCTTTTTTTTAATATTCTTTTCCTGAAGATAACCCTTGAATCTCTGTGTCATGTCAAATCTATACTTTCCACATAAATCTGTCGTCTAAAGATTGAAATGTCAGTCTTCTCCTAAAGGGGGATTGAAAAAGAGTAACAATTATTTTAAAAAAAACCTGATATCTGATTGATGGATGTGTTCAACATTCATATTGTTGTTTCTATAAAATTGAAAGGTGAAGAGTAAAACTACGCTAACAGGAACATGATGGAACTAATACTATTTAACTAAATAAATCAGAAAGATAGTCGCTGGAATCGTTAACACTTGTGCTATATCACTTTCATGGCAATCCCTCAAAACTCTCTATCAAATTTATCCTTTTCTCACCTCAATGATATTCCTCACTCCATTGAGACGCAATACCAGGTGCTGACCATACCTGAAACAAAGAATATAATCATAGAAATGGAAAATACAGAGAAATGATGCATAATATCCTGATGGGAATGGTTGAAGGAAAAAAGATGTTAAGACATCAGAGTCTCTTGAAAGTTTATTGGAAGGAAAAGTGGAAGGTGTCGGACCAAGAGGGAAACCAAGAACTATAACTGGGAGGGACATGGAGTGGATTATGTCACTTCAAGATTGTACTCTGGTGCCAGAAAAAAGAGATGTGTAGAAAAATGTTGCATTAAACCTTCCAGCTGAGAGAAAAAACATTTATTTAGTGATTTGAATTGATAAACAGGTGTAAATGACTGACGATAACATTTACAGAATATAAGCATGACTTTCTTACCTTCCTTACTATGGTTGCCTAAAGGAGCAAACACTAGGTTGCCACAGTTATCTTTTAAAGCTTATCTGCCGTAGTTTACAGGAGGGATTAAACCGCTCTACAAGGTCACTGGACAGGTGGTTATCTCATCAACTCAGCTCTCAGTTAACATAAGAAAAGGAGGATCATGGGGGACCAATGGTCACCAATTTGGCATTGTTTGTTATATAGAGGGCACAAGTAGCTACCAGTAGTGCAGTGGGCCTTTAATTAACACATACACCATAACTCATATACACATATACACCACAAATACCATGTGTTCAAAACAATGTGGGAGTCTCTTGTTTTAATACATAGCAAAGCTAATAAGGAATGAATAAAACAACAATGTCATGGAAACTTCATTCTTGTTTGAAAAAGAAATGTTATCCTGCTTGGAAACTTGTACAGTGTATGCCAACTTGGGAGCTATGTTTGATTTAAATCTCTATCTTCATAACTTTCAGTAAATCTCACATCAATTTCAGAAAAATCAAGAGAAATATCCATGCAGAAACCTGTGCCAAACATATAAACTACAGTTAAACATTGTCCTGAACTGCTACCTGATGGGAAATTCACCTACATGTATGATGCATGATGACAGAGAGCAGTCTAGCACAGGTAATCAAGTTATTTCCTTTCTGCTCAAACAATTATTCACAGTCAAGCCCAATGGTGCCCCCTTCACACCAAAAACTTTAATTAATTCTGATGAGTGAATTCCATGACTATATTCAAACAAATATGTGCAGTAAAGCCTATCAATGCCCTCTTCACACCAAGAACTTAAGTTAATCCTGATCAGTGTATTCTATCTAATTACATGCAATCCATTCTATCAATTAACCACTCACAACTAGAAATGAAACGACTCTGATATGTGTATGATATTACTATCTGTTCAACACAGTCAAGGCTATTGACAATGCCCCTTCAAATCAATATATTAAGATAATGTGTTTGTTATTTCCTTACTCTCCCATGCACTTGACTCTAAAGCCAATCAAAGTGCCGTTCGCACCAAGTAATTGGGTGATCCTGTTTGCTATTTCCGTACTCTCTAAAAATGTATAGATACAGTTAAGAACATCAAGGATCTTTCACATCACGCAACTAATGGATAATGTCTCTTATTTGCAAAATATTTGAACAATAAGACACAATTATTAACCAATCAGGGCATTGATGGGCTTAACTGTTAAGCCCATCAACGTCCTGTTTCGTTATTTCCTAACTCTTCATACAAATAAACAGTCACTAACAATAAAGCCCCTTTTACATTATTAAAAACGACTAATACTAACTGTTATTTCCATACTTTTCAATTGTTTAGACACAATTTATCATTTAAGCCCATGATTGCCATCCCGAGGCGTAACCTTCTTGTAAATGTAGATACTGACCCTGTTTATTATTTTCTAACTTTCCAAGCAATTACACACATTAAGAACATCAATATCCCGGTTTGTCTTTGTGTGAGGTACCTTTAGCAGCAGCTTGTCCTGCATATAAGTTATGTGAATAGGGATGTGATTTAAAAGATGATAATTCTGATAAATAGTTTGGAGCTTGACCATTCAAAGCTTTGTAAACAAGGAAAAGTAATGTAAATGCAATTCTATGCCTTAGTGGCAAACAATGTAAATTCATCAAAACAGGTGTAATATGGGAAAATTTTGAGGAATTTATTATTTATCCTACTTCTTTCTCTTGTGTCCTACTTTCCAGTATTTTAAGGGTTTGCATAGAAAGTGTAGGGTTAGTTTTATCAGTATCAGATTCATGTCAAATGTGTATTATTTCTAGTGTTTAAAATTTCTAATGCAATGATTTCCTTGATCAAAATGTTTATAAATAAGTACTTCATCTTAGACATTTTGAATAATAGTGTAAGTTAACTCTTATTTCACTACAACCTTGAATGCCAATGCTGTTTGCCAAAAACCATGTCTTTCAATTACCAGTACTAATTTGTTCACACTTTCAAGAGCAAATTAAATTTATACCAATACAGCTAATATCCTAGAGTAAGCTAATTAGAAGATTATTGCAAAATTCGCTGATACAGTGTACAAGTAAATGTGGCACAGTGCCATTGCCTACCATGCTATGCTGGGGCTACATTTGTGATTAAATGCACATAATCTGATTGAAGTTATTTCATTATTTACTACATTTCCCAAAAGACTTAATTAAAATTGATGTCTGTTGGTACACACTGCTGTGAATCTTCCAAATCTTTGAGAGCTATATTTGGATTCTTTAAAGCTCTAAAGATAGCCGGGGTCAACCTTCAACAATTGACTACAGAATTTTCTTATTCCCATTGGCTAGCTAAGGAAATATCAAATTCCCAGAGGCAATGACTCCACATTTTTTCATTACCATACGGCCCAACTTATTGATAACCCTTGATTTTAAAAAGTACATCTAACAGAAATATTTTACTATTTTGCCATTTCCAAAACGACACATTATATTAGTAAGCCAAAGATCTATCTATCAAGACATCTTCTCCCAGTTCGTAGGTTGATTACAACATTTTCCACACATCTCTGATGTTTGACCATCCTAGTACACTCTTGCAGTGTTGTTCCACTCCATTTTTTAATTAATGTTCCCCTCCATGTTGATTCTTGGATTCCCTCTTGGTCTTGTACCTTCCACTTTTCTTTCCAATAAATCTTTCTAGAGACTCTGATATCTTTTAATTTGGCCAAAGTATTATGCTTCCTTACTTTAAACATTCCTATATAGGGATATTGTTTAAACCTGCCATAAGTAGTATTCTTTGTATTAAAACATTTATATACTATTTTTTTTAAAGTCAGATGACTCATTCTTTAATTTCAGATTCACACAGACTTAATTAACAGATATCAGTTTTACATATTCAAAAGTATCACTTATCCAATTTCTTTTAATTTTTTACCACAGCCTTTATAAAACTAGCTTTGGGGTTTTAATTCTCACAATTGGAATAGGTTCACACTTTAGAACTTATCAAAGTACAAGTGTGTCTTTACCGGTGAATATGCCCGTTACTTGCAGTGGCTGACTATTCCACCAACAAGCCCCATTGCTTGGAATACATGTAGCAGCTCTAACCCACATCCAAAGTGTAATGGTGATTAATCAATGGTATTTGTAAATGTACCTTCACTGCAAATTAAATAATCTAATTGTGATTGGGCTAATTCCTCCGGATCAAAAGTTGCGGGCTATTTTTGAAAACTTGTGCTTGTGGAAACAGCCCTTAATTAGGTGCCATGTTTTAAGGTTTCTTTCTAGCGAGGGGCCGAGCAAGATCAAGAGATTGAGAATAATTGAGAGGGTGGGGCTCTTTGGGTGCGAATGGGGCTTGAGTAGGAGGACATGTAATGAAGACTTTCCTCTTCGAATGACATGAGACAGGTTTAATCTGCTGAAATATACTTTTTTCTTTGGGTGTGAACAGGTTCTAAATTGTTGGATAGGATCTTCCTATGCAATGAAATGTTTGAATATGTTCTTTGAGTGAGTGTTAACAGGGTCTACATGTATCAGCATTATGCTTGATAGCCATATGTAGTGAAGATTTGTCATGTTTTTACTGAAATGAAACATTTTAATCTCCTGTTATTACACTTTCTGCGGGTGTGAAGAGGGCCTGTGTAGGTGAACATAGCTCTCCATAATATGAGACAGTTTAATCTAATTTTAAAACTTTCCTCCTCTACTGCGATGGGATAGTCCATCCTAATCATTGTAAATCCCCCAATAAAATTGTATTAAGCCACAAAAGATTATTAAATTTAAGTCTACAAACAATTGTTACCAGTTCGTAATTCATTTGGATTTATGTGCTTTGATATTTCATTAGTTTTTCCTCATTTGCATATAACAGAATTGTACTATTCATGTGTACCTCAGGTTCTCTCGAATAGAATGCATGTGAAAGTGATCAGGGGTGGATACAGGGGCACAGTAGGCAAAGGGACCCCCACCCCCCCCCCCCCTCCCCACCCCCCGGCCTGTTTTCATAAAGTTTATAAAAAGAGAAATATTCTTAGAATATAGGTATTCTGCCAGAATCCTCTATGACGCATCACATGTTGGTCATCAGCTCTTGATAATCATCCTCTCATTGGTTTGAAAGAGCCAGGATATCTGATTGGTGGCTTTAAAGGGAAATCCACGCTTATCAGCAACTTGCTCGATCTGAAGGAAAGCAGACAAATCAGAGAGGAAGATTGGCAGATTGAGCCTCCCCTCCCCCCCCCCCCCCCCCCCCCCCCCCCTCCAAAAAAAACCCCTTCTAGAACTGGTAATACCCACCAAAACTTGAAGCAGTACTGAAATTGTTTGCAAATGTTTACTTACGGGCAAAGTTCCACCTCCAAATATCTTTCATCTGATCCCAGGAAGAATGCTTCCACGACTAAGATAAATGAAATATGAATATATGTAATCTATTATAATTGTTATTAATATATATATGTTTATTTTTTATTTTTGTATTGTTATTTTCATTGTGTTTGAAATTCTAATGTAATGATTTCCTTGATCAAAATATTTATAAATAAGTTGATCTTAAATGCATTTGGCCTGAACATCAACTTTCCAGCATCCTTTCTAATTTTTAAAATGTAGTTTAATTTTCCTTTACTGAACTGTAGTTCATTGCCACATCATAGCTAAGTGCACTTTTATATGCCATGGCATAGAAGTCCCCTTATGAACTGTACGTCACTTACGGTAATTCGTTGCAGCTTCATCAGGAAAACACACAGCTTCAGCAGGAGAAAATAGATCTCAACCGGGAGAACGAGACATTTAGAGGAAATCCCCCTAAAGTGGGAGAGTTAATTATCATTAACATTCATTGGAATTTGATGCACAAAATCCTACCTTCGTAATCCCAGAGCCCAGATTGAGGACTACCAGCAGGACCTGAAGGTGCAGGGTCATTGTAGAATGGTGCCACAACTTCCAGATTAATTCCTGTGCCATCTGTAGACTTTGACATGGAAAGCCTGACTGGTGTGGAATGATTCACCGGTCTTCCATCCCATTGCGTTGCAATGCTGAAGCTTGCTGTTTTAACTTCCATGTCTAAGAACAAAAATTGTTGTGATAATTAGAATATGGTTGCCATCTGTAAATGCTGTTGCACCATTTGAAAAATACTATGGTAACAGCATGACACAAAAAACAGCTTCTCAACATTCAAATATGGTTATCAAAAGTTTGGAGAAAAAAAAAATAATAATTAAAAAAAAAAAAATAGTAATAAGTAAATAGCATTTGGCTGAAATGTGTGAATATGACAATGAAACAATCATTAAGTTATCTTCGCATAATGTAAGATTCCATCTTCAAAGCTGATATATCTGATATGTGATAATGACCAATTTCTGCAGTACTATTACAGAATAATGTGTTGAAGTCTTCTTCTTCTTCTTCTTCAGTAGCAGTACAGGCCACCGTCAGGTGTATTGTCGTACTGTTGAGGTGCAGTGCAGATGTGTGTACAATGTCCGATAAGAGGAAGTAAAAACAGCTACCGTCTTTCTGCCAGACAGGGGCCCGTTCCTAGAAACCGTCATAAGTTTAACTTCTTGACTATCCCATTGTAACGTGTGTTATAGAATCAACACATGTTTCAATGGGATAGTCAAGAAGTTAGACTTATGACGGTTTCTAGGAACGGGCCCCAGATTATTTACCAAAACTTCTGGTGGTGATTCAATCAAGGAATATTCACAACATTTGAGGAATAGTTGTTAAAGGGCCAGAGGGACTTCTACATTTTTGTAACATGGACTTAACAGCAATGCCTAATTTACTAGCATTTTATTCTCCCTCTCTGGTAGTGTCTGACCTTGGCATCTCTGTTGTTGTTGTTGTTGTATTATATTTATTATTATCATTATCATCATCATTGTCATCATCTTCATCATGTATATTTGAGCAATGTAATTTCAAAATATTTAAAAGAATATTGTCTGTTTATGTTTTTCTACTGTGCTGCTCAAATGTTTGCAAAGGTCCTGGTCAGGGTCGAGCTCCCAAAGATTCAAGTCCTGCTTTTCCCCCCTTCAAACTGCTGTCTAAACCTTCCTATCTCTCTCTATCTCTGTTCTCTTGACTCTCCCTCTATTTTTTGTCTATACTACCAGGCGCGCCGGAAGCAGTTTGGGATTGGGGGGGGGGGCAAACATTCCAGGGGGCTCACCTTCCAGGGGCAGTGGCGTTATGAGCAAACACGTTTGGAAGCCCCGGCAGGGGGTCAAGGGGCTGAGCCCCCCCCCCCCGAATCTCAGGGTTGTTAGGCATTAAATTACAGACAGATAAGCATATTTAGATACCTTATTTGTGACACTGTTAGGTCACTAATTGGCAGAGAGTCCAGGGGGCAGAGCCTCTTGAAGCTCAGGAGTTTTAGGTATTAATTACGATTAGTTGATCATCCAGGGGCCCTATTTAAGGCAATTGATGTGGTCCGGAAGCAAAGGGGTTTTAGTATACGGTCAGATGAGCATCCAGGGGCCTGCCTTAGGGCCCTTGGTGGGGGTCCAGGGGGCAGAGCCCCCTGAAGCTCAGGGGTTTTAATTATGGTCAGATGAGCATCCAGGGGCCCGTCATAGGGCTCTTGGTGGGGTCCAGGGGGCAGTGCCCCCGGAAGATCTGAGGTTTTAGGCATTTAATTATGGTCAGATGAGTATATTTTGATACCTTATTTGTGACATTGGCAGGTCACTTATTGTTTCTCTCTCTCTTTCTTTCTTTTTCTCTAATACACTTTTTTTTTAAAAAGAGGGGGCTCGAGCCCCCGAGCCTAGCTGTTTCTGCAGGCCCTGACATGAAGGCTTCTAAATAAGCATATTTTTCGCCCGACTGTAAATTTGGGAATTTCTAATTTTCCAACAAACGCATAACAAGGTATATGACTTACAAAAAATACAGAAAAATCAAGTAATTTCAGCAACATTTGTAAACCACTGGTATCAAATAATAAATACCCCCCCCCCCTCCCCAGTACGCCAGCGTTCAGGGGCTCATGTCTTCTCACCCCTGTAACAAAAAACACACGCTTTCCCATCCTCTCAGGCTCTCACAAGATTTCCACGATATGCGCGTATCGCTATAAAAACCTCCAATATAGGTGGCATGCGGAATGTTAAGGAAATTGAATTCCCGTTTACTTTCCTTTTCTTTGAATGGAATTTTATATGTGATTTAATTCTGTTTTTTATTATTTTTATGTTCTTTGGGGTTGAAAATACAAACCATCTTTAGATCTACTCCTTTACTGCATTTCTTCCTCTTTTTTTTGGAGGGGGGGGGGGCAAAAATGCGTTTTGCCCCCCCCCCCCCTCCCCCCCCCCACTTTTTTGGTTGGGGGGGGGGGCACGCATGTAGATCTAGTCCAGATCTAATGAAATATCAAATTTAAAGAGGCATAGATTTCTATATGACACATTTACACATGCACAATAAGGCTATTTGGACACATCAACCAGTTATTACAAAACCAGTTGCAGCACGTAGCACACATTCTTTGGCATACACGGGACTGAATGTATTAGGTCTACGTTAAAACAATAAACGACACTTCAAACAAACAAAAATCATTTAAACATACGGACCGATCTCCATACACACTCTATGACACTGAGTTTGCTTCTCATATTTTGTACGCTATGGACCATACTTCAAAAACTTAATATTCCTTTTTGCGATATAATAATTAATATGTACCGAAATGGGCCGCACATTCGCACTCACCACACGACCACCACGGTAACCCGATACATACTCCGGCGACGATTACTCCGATGACAATTAATGTTCCGCAAAAAGCGACAATTGCTCCGCGACATTTGCTCCGCGACATTTGCTCCGACGTCAAATGCTCCCGCAAATGCTCCGCCGACAATTGCTCCGCCGACTTTTGTTCCGCCGACAATTTCTCCGCCGACATTTGCTCCGCCGACAATTGCTGCTCCGCCGACATTTTCTCCGCCGACATTCATGGGCGTCAATCCAAATTTGACCGTGGGGGGGGGGGGGGGGGGGGGGGGGGTACGTGGCACAAGTTCCATTTTGTTAGGGGGCGAATGGGCGCGCCACGCAGAGGGGGGGGGGGGGGGGGCCGGCCGGGGTGGGGGTGGGGGTGTCTGAGGGGATGTGCCCCCTAAGAAGTTTTTTTTTAAATTGATGCTTAAATGGCTCGCTTTGGTGCATACTTTTTGCCAAATTAAAAGAAAACAGTCTTTAGTTTAACTAACATGAACGAGAACGCAGGGGGTGTCTGAGGGGGGGGGGGGGGGGTGTGCCCCCTCAGAAGTTGAAGATTTGTTTAGAATTGATGGATAGATGGCTCGCTTTGGTGCATACTTTTTGCCAAATTAAAAAGGTGCCCCCCTCAGAAGTTGAAGTTTTTTTTTTAAATGATGGATAGATGGCTTGATTTTGGACATACTTTTTGCCAAATTAAAAAGAAAACAGTGTAACGCAGGGGGTGTGCCCCCCTCAGAAGTTGAAGATTTTTTTTAAAATGATGGATAGATGGCTTGATTTTGGGCATACTTTTTGCCAAATTAAAAAGAAAACAGTATAACGCAGGGGGTGTGCCCCCCTCAGAAGTTGAAGATTTTTTTTCAAATTGATGGACAGATGGATTTGGGGCATATAATTTTTGCCAAATTAAAAAGAAAACATTCTTAAGTTCAACTAACAGGAACATTTAAATTCATTTAACAGTTAAATTCAATTAACGAGGAACAAGAACGCAGGGGGTGTCTGAGGGGGGATGTGCCCCCCTCAGAAGTTGAAGATTTTTGTTTAATTAGTTCAACTAACAGGAACAAGAACGCAAGGGGGTGGGGTAGATAGATGAATCTGTCGTTTCCATTGAACAATCGGCCATAAGGTTTGGAAGATACAAGGGATTACTTTGATTTTTTTTTCCAGTTGGTCAAAGGATTTTCATCGTAAACCAATGTTTGAACTTCCGGTAATGTGAATGTGAACGCTTCTATTAATAAAATCTGATCGCCTGATTTGGCTTGATTTATCTCAACGCAGAGAGAAAGAGAGAAAGAAAGAAAAGAACATTTTTTTTAACCCCAAATCATGGGGGGGGGGGGGACATTTCACGACCTGAAAATTCGTGGGGGGATTGTCCCCCCGTCCCCCCCCCCCCCGGGATTGACGCCCATGCCGACATTTGCTCCGGCGATATCTGGCGCTTGTTCAGAAGCCTATCCAAAATTTGAAGTAAATATTCATCAAATGTCTAAATAAAGATCATGAGTTAAAAGTCGTTATGTTTATTACCTGTTTCGTGTCAATTATCTTGTTATTTTTGGAGTATTTTTTCGGAAAAACGTTGATATTCAAGTGCATACTGATGGTGGGTTGCGGGCGGGCGCGCGCCTGTGTGAAGTAATCAAAGACGTTTAAATATAAAAAGTAATCTACCGTAACGAGAATCGGCTGACACCCATCGAAAGGGTGCGTTGCTGTGCGGAGCGGTGTGGTGAGTTCAAAGCCCCCTTTCGAAAAAAGCGGTGGGGCTTTTCTCGAAAGGGTGCGTTGAGAACGAGTACCGTTTAACCAAAGACGTTTAAAGGGAACCAAAACCTTCATACTTAAGTTACTTTTATTGTAAAGTTTAAGATATTTGAATAAAATCAGTGAAAATTCTTTTGTCTGAATCATTGATTACAAGTTCTTTGCAAGTTCCTCTCACAATTATAATTTTCAGCATCCCCCGGGACATTTTGACATCCCGCTTTTATCAACGCCCCTGTCATCATTAGCATTTTAATTAATATTTCTATCTGTCAACACTTTCGCCTTGCTATGAAGGTTGCGCCATTTCGGAGTGCTAATTTTTCAAGGCGCACTTCTTTGGGAGACCAACTTATCATAATATTACGGATGTTTCTTTCCTGGGGACTATAGTGACGAGGTATTCAATTAACCTGTCACTATTGAATGAACTACATTACTTTAAATACATTTTGCATATATTACGTGTTGCTATGTCGGGTAAGCCTCGGGCATTCTTTTGGAATGACAAGACAACCTGTCTTCAAACCGTTTGCATAACATTTGAATAAAAAACCTGAGGTTCTGATCTAAAGTGTAGCCTACATCGGAAGCAACTGAACTGATCATCTTTCATAAAATGCTGAAGAGTAGAGTCGCAACAGACAATATCGATAAAATAAAGAAGAAAATGAAAAGTGAATGCTATTGGCTCTGCTTTTAGCCCGCCCCCCCCCCCCCTCCCTAAGAGACATGTTATAATTTTGTATATTAAAGTTAGTTCTGTTCTGTCCTTCTTGGTGTGAGGTTGTCTACTGTCCTGAGTTACTTGAATTTTGTTGGAGAGTTTAGATTGTTTTTGATGCAGCATGTTTGATGATTGATTTTGGCCAACTATAATTTCCCTCGGTTAAATTAATAAGCACGTTACATTACGAGCCGGAGATTTTGGGAAACAGGCATGCGTACGTCCCTCCGTACCCGGAGTGGGGGGGGGGGGGGGGCTTTTAGAAAACTCCAGGCATATGTGTGAAATAGGGAGATGGGGGTCCCTATGTGAACGCACCGATACCACGCCCTCTTTCTTTTCTTTGTAAAACTTGGAAAGCTGTGAAGTCACTGAATATCTTTTTACATTTTGTTCATTGAAGCGCGAAGAGTCCTCCAAAACATAGGAACACCACCTGTACACAAAGAACCACGCTCTATACATACCACGCACAATCTATATGCGTACACTGCATAACCCCTCTTCGCAATATAGCTAGGTAAACAAGAGCGGTCTAGGTCTTTGAGATGAATAGCAAAGGAATCGGAATAATTGCTATGCTTTGCCAGTGAAATTCTTCGCGTGCATACGGCGTGGGTAAGCCCTTTTTAATATTGTATGAAAATGTTTAATGTAGCTATATGCTGCCACTTTATATAAAGATAAAATGTAGGTTTAATCTTTATTTTTAGAGCATTCATCTGATGAAACGTATTGATATCGGAGGAGGTGGAATCGCGAGGCTCAACTTCGCCCGAAGACGGAGGCGCCCTTAGCTTACCTGGGAGAACTGCAGGTGCCGAGGCCGCTAGCTAGCGCTAGCAGCAGCACGCCCGCATTTTTTCATTTATCAGATTATGCCGAGACTGAAAGTGAGAGACTGAAATAAATATGTAAATCATACTTGGGCGACATATCCCTTATCCTTTATCCTTTATCCTGTCATCATAAACTTGTAAATCGCTAAGAAGCTACATGTAATATTATTTAAGCGCTATACATGTGACTTATTATTGTTATCATTAATGAATATGACGTCTCTTATAATATCTGATATACATGTACATCTAACATCACATGCCTTAGTAAAAGTGAGAGTTGGTAACACACAACATGAATGTGTAACTATACAATTAGACTACAAGGAAAATGTTAAAACCTGAAAATACAAATGATACACAATAGAGAAAATAGGAGAAACAGAGGTAGAATATGGAAGAACACCCCCTTTTCGACCCCAGCTACCGTAGGTCAACTATATGGCTTGCGCTTTTTAAAATCTGATTTTGGGATAGCGAGATCAAGTTGGCGCTAGAGACATAGTGTTGTACATGTACATATCGTACAACTAGCGATTGAGTATCATCAGCTCAGTTAATTATTATGCACAGTATAGGCTTGATTTAATAAACTCACCAGAAACACTTTTATATGAACCGCTGTACTCAATACTTGAGTCTGTGTTTAAATTTTAAAACTCCAGAATTTGCCAGGTTCACGTAAATGTATCCAAACATTGATTCTGGCCTGAAAAAGAATTTATAGACACTCTGTTAGATTGATGTACCCTCTACCCTTCCAACGGTGAGGTCATTTATAAGGCAACAAAATGTTATCAGCTAGTGTAGAATTCCTATAAGAAAGATATGTAACCTTGAGACCTGTGGGAAAAGTGTAGTCGTACTGTACATTCATAATTGTATTCTACAGTAAAACAGTTGTCATTATAAATTGTGTTTAAACATTACATATTATGTGATATGTATTATATGATATATATGTATTATATGATATATATGTATTATATGATATATGCATTATATTACAAGTCTTGACTTGTTTGAATCGTCTATTTTGAACTTGTCATAATGTTCTATGCTATACACACATCAACTATACGACAAGGGTTATAAGAATGTTCAAACACAGTGTACTGCTTTAGCAAAACTGGGGCAAAACCACCTGAAGAGAAAGGCCATATTTGTTGTCTCTCTTCAATGGCGATTTACATTGACACAGTATGTATTGAAGGAACCTTTACTTAAAGACCACCTTCCAAAAAAGACCACTATACTTGTCTTCCTTGGGTGACCTTGATATGCAGCTCATCCCACAAGGTAGGGTATTGGTCTAGTTTGAAATGTCACTACTGTGTTTGTTTTGCGTGTCTGTTTTACCCATAAGAGGCCTCTCACACGAGAAGTACGCTGTATTGTAACAGAACGAACGACACAGGAATATCCTTGAAGTCATTGTATCGCTGAAAAGAGAAAAAAAATGGCATGATGCTTTCTTTCTTCACCTAACTATGGATGGGTAGTATACATAACGTGTCAAATACACATGTACCTGGATTCCTAGAATGATAACGATAATAATAATAATAATAATGATAATGATGATGGCGATGACGATGAATACTCTGATGAAAATAAATATACATCTACATGTAGTTAAAATTATGAAAGCATAGTATTTACATGTATGTTTTCTTGGAAGGAAATTGTCTAAAACACCATACCCACCCAGGAATATTGTTTACGGTACTCAGGATTTTAAATGATAAAAAACAGACTTTTTTTTCCATCTCTCGGACAGATTTCCCATTTAGAATTTAGAAAGGGCAAGTTCCAGGTATTTAGTAATCCATATGTTACCAAGTAGTGTGGAGATCTGAACTTGAATTGACATATCACATCATTCACATGTATTTTTGTGTTAACTGCATAGCGGAGCCTATTTCGAACGTTGTAGTTGTTGTCATCTTCAACAACCATGCTGTACTAACAATAACTTTCTAGTTGAAATAACATGTATAACTTAACGTTTTATTGCGAAACGCATGTCTGGGCACCGTCTTGAATGAAAACTCAACAAAGAATAAACATAAACATCCCGCTACAGTCTGAACATCGTATCCTACGAATATTGTATAACTGGGCGGGGCTTATCATGAGCGCACACTGATGATTGGCCAGTTGTTATGTAAATTAACCTCTTCAAAATTAGTTTCTTTATAGGTTTCTTTATGTGATGTTGTTTTGTCCTTTCGCTGTATACTGATTCTTTATAAGTACAAGTTTCATATAAATTAACTTAAATCTGAACATGCTATAAACTAAATGCTATACATGTAGTATGATCAAATGCACCATGTCTTAGATCCGGCCATTTGGTCAGTAATAACACGGATAAATGGCTTGGAATTGCCGAAAGCAGGTCTGTGTGTCCAAATCCTTCAAGAAAACTCAGACTTTTCCTGTATAAAACGTGACCCTTTGACTGTCACAGCTAGTAGTTGATTTACAGCAGGTCATTGATTTGATTTACGCGCTAGGTAACCGGTAACCTATTCCCTTTTAACCTCTATTAGTCATGTACTGTCGCCCCCATCTTCCTAGAGCTATCCTGCCCATTGGGAGGTCAATTATATTTAGATCCTGATTATTTTATACATCTTTGCTTGACACTTTTGCAGTCATTGGGCTATATGGGCTTGTCGTTTTTTGTCATATGTGGCAAATCGTTGTGTGTTGTTCATCATGGAGTACTTTGGAATACATTTTGCATGTAAGTTCAAGGGCTTTTTGTGTGCATATTCTTTATTAATGCATTTAAAATATATATCTGTATATTTTAGGTGATAAAAAGACGGGTGTACCGTAGGGCTGCGACGTGTAGTCAAATGCTCGAGTACCCGCACGGTTGACAACTACTCGGGTACAATTTCTCATACCCGAATATTCGGCCGCAAAAATAAATAAAAGCCCGGTAAAAATGTTTCCCAACTCAAGCACTGTCAAATTCACCACTCAGAAACTGGGACCAAATGTCTGGATTTCTGTTTGGACTTGGAGGAAAATGGATTATTCTGCCATCTTTGGTTTTTAAAACAGCATTGTTTACTGTTATTATTATTATTAAATCAGCGCCTTCAACTGCAACTCGAAGTAAAATTGCATGCGTTTTCGGCGACAGAACTGGGATACTGCTCCAAAGGTATGGTGGTGGCAAAAACAAAAAAAAATCAAAAAATCAAAAAAATTCCAAAAAAAAAAAAAATCAAAAAAATTATAAAAAACATGGCGTCCGAATATTCGAGTATTTGCTTGTAAGTCTGGGAGTGTACTCGGGTACCTCATTACACTGTTGTGCATGGCCTTAGTGTACCGTATGTGAATATTGGCTTCTTTTTTATTTTACCCCTGGGTTGAGAGTGGCAAATTTGGATTGATGTCCTTCCAAACTACTGATGCTCTAACATCATTAATTTCACAGTCAAAGCTGAGCAGCTAAATACTTGTGTTATAGCACTCTAGCATACCGGTACAAAATGTGATAACAATGTGGGACTCTACATGTATGTGATGTGTGCAGCAAAGAAACTGTGAACTTGAACAATAGTGCAATAACATGTACATACATGTACCATTCATATAATGTCAACATTTTACATGTATAATGCAAATTTGAACGTGGGACAATTTCAAAGATCCAAACAGTCTGAGTGACCAAATGTTATGAGTACACTTTGGCACAATGTTGATAAAATAACAATTGCACTTGAATACCGATCCTTGATTGTCTTATTCTTATATTAAAGGCTATGCAAATATTTGTTAAGTGTAATGCTAATATAACTGTTTCTTATTCTAATGTACGGTACTCTGCAAGTGCATTTGTTTGACTATTCATCAATTTCATCTGCATGTACATGTAACATGATAACAATTCACAATTGTTAATTAATTTCCTTGTTGGTAAGATATAAAATTGTAAATCTTTGTAAAATACTTCTGATTGTTGAAGGTCTTTACTGTTTGCTTCTGCACAATGGAATTTTCTTTTTGAATTTGTATCTTCAAGTACTTTATTGTTTGTTTATTTTTTTCGAGATCTTTTATTGGGAGCTGTACAGAGCTAATTTGAACAGTGCTTTCATTTATTGTTTTCTCTGATAATACATACTGTAGATGAAGTGTTGTAGGTGTTCTCTAGTTTGATACCGGTACATACATACATGTATGTAGATCTACCTGACTAATGCCTGTGTCAGCTGGGTAATGGAAAACATACATTACAAGTGTATTTTGTTATACCGGTAAACACATTTAAAATTAATGTTCATTTCCATATACCAAGTACATGTATGTAAATCAGTGAATCATTTTATTAATGTACATGTAAATCATCTTTATTTATGTAGATTCATGTTATGTTAGTCTTTTATTCCTCTTTTTTCCTTTTTCTTTTCAGAATCCTGACAAAAGTAAAGAAGGGAGAATGACAGGATTAGATGTAGATGTTTTCCTAGGAGATTTGAAAACCAGAACCACTCCCCGTATGTGGTGATGAGGATAGACGAAAATACCCAAATTCAGAAGTAATTTTGGTTCAGAAAACCATATATTAAGGTAAGAACATGGAAAGGACATTGATATTTGTTTGCTAAAACATTAGAGAAATTAGCATGTATAAGTATTTGAGAGTTTGCGCTTGAATGTGATTCAATATTGTTTGTACATTTATTTTTCTGCAGTGGTACAAGTTTTAGAGGTGTTAATCATGAAGTCATATACAGCATGCAACTCATGTCTTAAAATGGTTTCTAAAGTCAATCTAGTAAGTTTGACAAACAGTTCTGTAAAACAAGAACTTTTGTGAATTTTATGAGTGATAAGTAAATGTTGAGCACAGCGAAATGACCAAATTACGTAAAATTATTGAACTTTCTACTACAACAACATTTGTGGAGGCTTAATTGTGGAGGAATTGGAAAGAGAAGATGCATTTTTCTTGTATATTACATGTAGCTGTGTGTGTAAGTTCAGTTGAGATTTTAAGTTATACTTTAATCATACTTATAAATCATACAAGATGTAAAGCACTTTCTTATGTGCAGCTACATGTATATAGCCACACTGATCATTCAGAGAAATAAAACATCACCAAGAAAACACGAATGCATTTCAGGAGAGGAATTTGAACTGCCATTAATGTACCCCCTTTCTCCAAAAGAGGGGGCTGTTCTTGATGTTCTGTTTGCAAAGTACAATCAATTTTCTCGGATTAAGAAAAATAGACGATGAGACTGTTAGCAGGATATGTGAGTCAGGCAAGCATGGTTTGTGCAAGGATATTAGCAACAGGCAAAGATTTATGGACCCAGCAGTGAAGGGTCTGTTAAGAATTGCCAAAAGATGGACATGTGTGTGCACGGATCCCTTACCAGATATGTAATTGTAAATTACATATAGTTTACATGTACATGTACATGTTTATGTCTGTACTTTAAACAAAAAAATAATCCAGATGAGACCCTCCCTCTCCCACCTGGTTTGGGCAAAGCTTTCTGCACCCAGCAGTGAAAGGTCTATTACGGAATGCTTAAGGATGTTTGTAAACAGATCCCTCACAAGATATATAAGTTGGCCTACATTTGTGTCAGTAAATAGAACAAAATTATCTACAAGTAGGTCTAGATGAGAACCCTCATCACCCCCTCCCCCCCCCCCCCCCCCCTCTTATAGTCTGCGTTAGGATATCAGCAAGAGGTTCTACCAAGGAATCCCAAAATATATACAGTGTGTGAATGGACCCTTGCCAGGTGTGTGGATTATATAGCCTAGATGCATTCAGAGGATGTCAATAGGCCTGTTTTCATCAGCCCGAGTTGGCTAAAATAGCCCGCTATTTCTGATCCGGGAAATTAGCCAGATCAGGAATGGGCTATTTGGCAGGTGAAGACAGGAAATCTTCCCAAGATATCTTGGGCTAGTTTTCAAAATAGCCTGCAGACTCGCAAGCTCGTGTTTCTAGCTGGTGAAGACACGATTTGTAACTTTTGGCTAATTTCCTGGATCACAGAATAGAGGGCTATGATCCGGCCAACTCGGGCTGATGAAGACAGACCTATTATAAAATGTACCAGGTGTACACTCCCTCCCCTATTCCCAACTTAGTGTTAGGACAGGATATTCTAGGATATTAGGAACAGAACAAGCTTATTACATCCAGTAGAGAAGGTCTGCCCAGAGTCTTTGACCCCATAGGTCTACCAAGGAATGCAAAGAAAGGTGTACACTCCTGGATGTGAATGGGGCCTCCACCAGGTATGTGTATTACCCTGTGTGTTCAGAGGATGTGAACATATTGTCATAACACAATCAAACCTGTCTATAAAGGCCATTTCAGGGAAATAGAAAAAGTGGCCTTTCTGGACTAGTTCTACAACAAAAGGACGAATTCACCAGTCATCAATAGAAAAAGGTGGCCTTGATTATTAAATAGAGAAGTAGAAGGTTTGACTGTAAGTCACTGTAACTGCACATGAGGGAAATTCCCTAAACTTATCTTTCTACATTAAGTCTAGTCATAAGATCTGCCTCCACCATATTGTCTGTTTGGAGCCAAAAGTGCATTTAGTCACATCATTTTACACAGAATTACTGCCCATCTGTCTCCAGACAGACAGATGATGAGTAACTCATTAAACTACTTTGTTACTACTCAAATACTTCAGAAGATAAATCAGGCACTTGAGAATGAAGCTTCAATTCAACTTCGTCGTATCTTATCTGTCTAGCGCCCTCTACGGCATTCAGGAGGAAGGAAGTTAGCAAATGACACATAACCCTGTAGTTTGCCCAGGGATCCAATCTATCAGCTTGGCTTTCCTTATCCTTGGGGTTTATCAAGATGACATTTTGCTTCAGCGAGAAAGGCGCTCTTTCCGAAGATTAATAGGTTGCATAGGAAGGTCTACCTTTCACTTATTTAGTTAGGCTGGCCTCTGGGTCTAACTAAAATGTTTAACAGTGGGAAATCTTGGGGTTTGGTCAAGTTTTCTTTGATAAAGTTGACTTTAAACCAAGCTTCAGAGTTGAGACCAATCTTTATAGTTTATACCCTGTGACAGATTTAGATTTTTTTTGGAATATGGGCCTCTAAGTTTGTAAAAATGTAATTTTACGTTATGTAAAAGATATGTCCCTTCCCTGAGATCAGTGTACGGCCTACACTCTCTCTCCCCTAGGCCACTATTTTGTTAATTGATAGACATCAAATTACCTTTTGTTTAGAGCCATGAACTCCTTTGGGATGTTCACCAAAACATGTTATTTGGTTGGGGTGAGTTTTTGTTTGCTTATTTGTTTTGTTTGTATACTTTTGTTTGTCATTTGTTTTATTTGTATATTTTTGTTTTGTTTTGAAGGTGTATACAGTATACATTAACATCTTTAGTTGAATAAAACTGATAGAAGCTAATCAAATCTAATGGTTCTTATATTATTATTATTTTTGTGTTATTGTTATCATCATTGTTGTTGTTATTATTATAAGTAGTATTTTTTTAATTATTATTTTATCAGTATATTCTACAGGGTGTATCATAATAAAGGATATTGAAGTTTAATGACGATTTATATGAAAACTACTGATTTCATAATCAAGCACTTATGTCTGTTGTAAAGGACAGAATGTCCTCTTTTAATGACACCCCAATCATACTTCTACTGTCACAGTTGACTGAATAACAAAGCATTGCTGTCCACCATGTGAAAGGTGCACTGTGCCAAGTTTGATAACATTTCCTTCTTAGACACATAATCCACTCATTGTTCAGCATTTCAATATGTCTGGGCTGACACAAGCACTAATCTTTGAATGCTAACTTGTCACAGTGCACCTTTGACATGGTGGACAGCAATGCTTTGTTATTCAGTCAACTGTGACAGTAGAAGTATGATTGGGGTGTCATTAAAAAGAGGACATTCTGTCCTTTACAACAGACATAAGTGCTTGATTATGAAATCAGTAGTTTTCATATAAATCGTCATTAAACTTCAATATCCTTTATTATGATACACCCTGTATACTGATAACTTCAACTTCACTCTAATATCCTGTATTAGACTAAACTACATTTAAAGGTACATTTAAAGCTACCAGACATTTAAAGCTACCATGTTTGTACATGTACCGGTAATGGCGTCCTATTTTTACCAGACATGATATGTTGTGGTTTAGATTTTCCAAAATATAATCTAGTTATGGTCGCGAGAAATTTGATACAGAGTAAATAAACAATATTGCTATGGAAACAGAAGCCATTTGATAGCAAGGATCAAATTATTTGAGCCATTTATAGACATTGCATGTAGGCCTATATACATGTATATGATGAAAAATAATCCATTTGTTTACATACATGTGTGTGTGTATAATTATGTAGGTTAGAGGCATGGGGAGGGGGGGGGGGGGAGTGATTTTCTGAATTTATTTAGCATAATAATGATAGATGTCTGTATTCCAATAATACCATCAAGGTTTTAATTCATGCAGAAACAATTGACAGCTATCAAAAATACAATACAAGAAAATAACTGTGAACATAGATCTGCCACAGATAAATTTCTTGTGTACCGGTAATAGCTGATTTGTGCAAATTTTATTACATCTCACAGATGACCTTGTTTGTGGGCTTGCAAATTGCAGACAATATTCTATCATATACATGTACACATGTTGATACAATGTAAATGTATGAATACAAGGAATATGTAGAAATCTTACAGGAGAGAATCATATTGATTTTGCCAAACAGTCAGACAATTTCCGCAACTGTACATTGTTTTTATAGTTAATTGAAGAAGAGCTGTTTCAATTAGAGCAGTATGCACTGGTCAAGATAAACTCAGCAAGCTCCATGACCATATCTAACACTTAATTTTCCCTTAAACTTTGAGTGTGAGTTTAGAATCCTGGTACCCATAGGCCCGTCTTCACTATCTCGATAATGGCCAAATATCCAGCTATTTGAACTATCCCGATCGCAAACTATCCAGCTATTTGCGTCTTCATTAGACCGAAGTAGCAAATTAGCTGGATAGTTGGTCGGGATAATATCCCAAGATATCTCGGTCTAGTTTGCAAAATATCCCACTATTTCCGAACTAGCGGGATAGTTTGCGACCGTCTTCATTAGACCGAAGTCCGGAGTCAAATATCCCGATCCCATCATGCACAACGATTTCCGGTTTGCACATGCGATCTATAGCGCTCAGCGCGCTAGTACAACCACTGACCTCGAGTAAGCACGGAAAACCGCAAACTAGACTGAGATATCTTGGGATATTATCCCAACCAACTATCCAGCTAATTTGCTACTTCGGTCTAATGACGACGCAAATTAGCTGGATAGTTTGCGATCGGGATAGTTCAAATAGCTGGATATTTGGCAATCTCGAGATAGTGCAGACACGCCTCATGAAGCTTTCAAGATAAGATAGTTGGCCCCTTTTAACCAAATCATTTAGGAGACCTGTCTGCCAGGTCTATTAGTTACAAGAATGTAGATTCACATGAGAGTCTGTAAACTTTAGTTTAGCTTATAAATGGTTTTAAGGTTATC